GAAAAAGAAAAGGATGATTAGAACGATCGTCGCAATTGACGTAAAAAAAGCCTTCGACTCGGTACCGCATGCCGCAGTCATAGGAGAAGCTCAATCCTTGGGAATCTCCGGGAGACCCCTAAACTTCATCCGAAGCTTTCTCGAGGGCCGCACATACTCGGTTCGCTGCGGACGAGAGCAAGGTGGGAGGAGGACAAACAGAATTGGTGCCCCACAGGGCTCTGTGATTTCACCAATGCTTTTTAACATAGTGATGGCAGCCTTACCGCACCAACTTGAACAGATCGAAGGACTGGGTCTAACAGTTTACGCCGATGACGTGACCATTTGGACGCAGACCGGAGACCTGCACCAACAACAAGAAACGCTACAAGCAGGCTTGGACGTCATCGAGAATCACCTGCGGAAGGTGGGACTCAGTGCGGCACCGGAGAAGACCAAGTATGTGGTCCTAGCCCCTTTTAAGGAGAGGACAGAAAAGATTGCAGAGAAGATGACCCTGCATGGTGCTGGCTGGGAAAAGGATTCTCCCGTCTCGAGAGGTCAAAGTGCTTGGTCTGGTCTTCGAGGAGACTGGTACAGGGGACATCTGGCTTCAACAGACAAGCAGACATTGCCACTCAGCGCTGGGAGTCATCCGCAGACTATGCAGCGTTAGAGGGGGAGCGACTCTAGAGGTGGCCAAGAACATGGTCAAGGCACTCGTGACATCGCGGGTTTGCTATGGCGCGAGACACTACAATCTAACCAAAGTTCACTGGGAAAGACTCGAGACACTCAATAGGCATGCGATGAGAGTGATTACGGGCCTACCCTTTTTTTACTAAAAAGATAGAATTGGAGAAATGGGCGCAGCTCAACACTTTACAGGACACGGTCCAGGCCAGGGTCGTGGCGCACGAAGAAAGACTTCAACACACAAAGCAAGGAAGACAGATCCTGGGGCTGCTAGGCAACAACCTAGAAGACCTACCAAACCTGCCAGAATGGCTTCCGCCGTGGGAAGACATGGCAGACATCACCGAAAGGAGGCCTCTTAGAGACAAGAAAGGGGACGAAAAAAGGAACGAGCGGATCGCCAAGGCACACCGGAAGATGGTGGAGCACTGGACCGACCCGAGCGAGATCCTGGCAGTATACACAGACCACGCAAGAGACGATACGCCGACGCCCGCTGGGGCAGCGGCGTTTCTCGCCCCCGCTGTGGAGGTCACGGAATGCTGCCAACTACCCGCAAGAACCACTATTAAGGGAGGAGAGCTCGAAGCCATCCTCCTGGCTTTGAACCTCTTCGCGCATCAGGCGACAGGGAGCTCAGGCTCTTCACAGACTCCAAGGAGGCGGTACGAGAGTGTAAGAAAGCCTCCAGCGCAAGCAGGAAGGTCAAGGAAATTAAGAAGATGGCAGCCGAACTACGTCAACTTGGCACCACCATCAAGATAGGTTGGATCCCGGGCCATGCAGGGATCCCCGGCAACGAAAAGGTGCATCAACTCGCTCGCGCGGCGCTCGTTTCCGCGAGCGAGGGGGAGCACCCACATCCTCACAACCACACGACCACGGATACGCCGCACCCGGTAATGGGAAGACGTTATGTGATGACGAAGAGTATGATCCTGACGAGGAGAGGATCCTAATCAAGGAGAGGTACAGGACAAGATTGTGGGAACGCCTGCCCCAGACGCCCGACCTTCTACCGAGAGGGATCGGAAGAAGGGACAAGGTCCTCCTCACCCGCATCATGGCAGGCGCCACCCGCTCTCCGGCACGCATGGCCGCATGGAGCAAAGGAAGACGCTCCAGCACGTGCAACAAATGCACGAACAACATAAAAGAAGGCATGACTCATCTCTTATGGGAATGCCCCTTCTATCAACAAATTCGGACCAAGTTCAAACCCATATATGCCCAGAACCTGGATGACTGGGTTCACCCAAAGAAGCCATCAGACAAAGAAAACGGCCAGCTTAGTCTCCTAAACTTCGTGCTAGAAGCGAAGCTGGACGTATATGTGTAGATTCTTTTCTCCTTCATACTCTTTCCTAGCGCCACATGCCCAGACGAAGATGTCACTCGGCATACTCCCCTCACCCTCACCCTATACTTGTGGCAATAAAAACGCCTTTTGAATCAATCAATCCGAAAAGCAAGATGGCCGCCACCATAATTGCTCTCAGTGGGAAATTTGTTTCGCTCGTCGCTGTAAAGTTGGTGGGTCGATGGTATTTGGAGGCGAGTGAGATGTTAACTAAATTCGTGCACTAAGTGGGCCAAGTTTTATTAAGACAGCAAGTGTGAAAGTTATGGTTCGAACGAATAAAGTAATAAAGCTGTCAGGAATATGCCATAATGGACCCAAAATGTTGTGTTATAACCGGGCTGTGCGAAGTGCAGATTTAGACACGCAGGTTCTTGGACATGACCGTAACTTAACACAACAGTTATAATAGCAAAAATAGGTGGCATAGGAAAACCAGGTGGAAATTTGGTTTGGGCGGCGTAACTGAATGGGAAACGGTTTTGACTGTGAAAAGACTGTCAAGAGAATACCACTTGTCGTGGGAGATGGAGACTTTACAGGTAGGAAGGGACTAGTGCACTGTACTTCCACTTGAAACAACTTTACGGAAGGTGGCTTTCAAACCGAGAAAACTAAGTTGCCGGCCAACACACGGTTTGGCCGTCAAAGGCTTTTGCGGTGAGCTGTTATGTAGTAATCTGGTTGTGCGAGGTGCTGATTTTCGGCACACAGGTACTTGGACAACCGTAACTTGACAAAACACTTATTATACCTAAAAGAGATGGCATAGTTTAACCAGGTGGAAATATTTTTGGCCGGCGTAACTAAATGGGAACCGTTTTTGACCGTCAAATGCTGCCAAGAGAATACCACTCATCATGGCCGGAAGGTGCACACTTTACAGGTAGGAAGAGACCAGTGAACGGTACTTCCAGTTCGAACAACTTTGCTATAGGTGGCTCTAAAGCCGAGAAAAAAAAAATTGTTGTCTTCAAGACTCGGGGTATTGGCGTTTCCCCATCCAAAGGGAGGCTGATCAAAAAAGAAAGCACACCACATAAACTTTCATTGTCAAACATCGATTGTCCAGAGATTCCAAGTTTCATTGTAGTTTTCCTTAGATTCATATTTGTCACTTTTTGTACCGTTCGAATCTTTCTTCATGAAGTACAGACTGCGTGCCATACTGGTCCGAAAATATCATCGGCACGTACGATGGGGACGGAACTTCCTTCGAGGGCATTCCTTCAACGAAATTCGCACCTCATACCCACGAGTGTGGAATGGCATTTCAGTTCGAGCTGAGATATGTTGGCGTTACTGGTACGAAGACAAACGCAGAGCACAAAGCGGCAGTGTAGAATATGTCAGCAGTGCCGACATAGTGGCAGACATGATCGGGAGACCAAATTTCTCGCGTCGTACGGCATGGGTCCGTCGCGGTCGCTGTCCCACAAAACGTCGTCGAGGTGAAAAACTGTGAAACTTCGTCCCCACGAGATACGACGCATAACTATTGGAGCACTTAACGACACAGCAGTTCATGCTGTCAACCCAGCGCAACCGCAACGCTCCGACTTCAATGCGTACCAACGTACGCGGCGCGGTTTCGTTTCGGTGGGGCTCTCACTGCCTACCTTCGGTAACGGCCGCACGGCGGCGCGCCGGTCGCGTTGCAACCTAAGAGCGAAGGGCGAGGGTAAGACGGGCCGGGGAGGAGGAAGCAGACCGAACGCTGGAAAAGAAAGGGGGAAACCTCCTCCTCTCTTTAGCGTTCCGTCTGCTTCCTCCTCCCCGGCCCGTCTTACCTTCGCCCTTCGTTCTTAGGTTGTAACTCGTTACTAGTAACGCGTTACGTACACGTCTGGCATTGCGTGGTCCACGTTGCACACGCGCGTCGTCGCCATGCGCCAATCTAAGACCGCAGTGTGGGCTTCCGAGCTGTGTGGAACGTGCAACGCTAACTCAAATTGCGTACGTTTTGGTCGTATATGTGATACTAAAGCTTACTATGCGGTGCCCAGGTTCGTCTGCTCCTTGCACAGAGGTTGCGATGATGTCAAAACGCCGAGCTCTCATTGGCTGATTGAAAAAAAATAGTGGGTTGGCATCAAGCATTCAGGTCTACCCACTATCCTTTCAATCGAAGCCAATCAGAAATCAGCGTCGCTCTGACGTCACTGCAACTCCTGCGCAAGAAGCAGACGACTGTTTCCCACTTTGCACGCCTACTGGTACACTATGTAATTATACTCGCACGCAACGCCGCTGACCAAGAAGCGTCTTTGTCGCGTTGTAATTCAAAGGATAAAGTCGACTTTTTTTATTCAGTTCCCTTTTTAAAATTTCATGACGTAATAACCGGGATATACCCTCTGATGTCGATATTGGATTGGACACGAGCATTGCGTGAAGAACAACACCCATACTCGTGATAATCGATTCGTCGACGAGCACGTGGGGGACGGCTCGCGTGTCAAATCGCTGCGCCTGCCGCGCGCTTTGCCCACCCCCACCGCGCGCGGTTACGATGAACACTGGGGGCACATCATAGGCACCAGGTCACGTGGCCGCTCATTGCGTCATCGAGTTGACGAGGTAAACACTGCTCGTTTTTTTTTTTTTTTTGACATCTTTCTTTTTTTTTTTTTTGCCGTTACGTGGAGAGAAAAATTAACGCCTGTTTCGTAGGTTATGAACGTCGAGGTTGAATTATACGCGGTATTTAGTGAATGTACCAAATGGTTGCACGGTCACGCCTCAGCACTCTGTCTGAAGCGTGTTTTTTAATTCAATTCATTTATTTTATTTACTCCCATAATACCTTACTTCTTTGCACGACAAACACATTAATCATAAAAAAACTGCCTGCAGACATGTTTCAAGCGTGTACAAAGCAAACATGCTCGGAACATGCTTGTCCGCAGAGAAAACTGTCACCATGTCCGCGGAGAAACTCTGCGTCTCTTGTATAATAGGAGCAGCAAAATCGCGGTACGTTTTCTCTACACCCCGTCCTTCTCGAAGAAAACGAATATATAAGAAAATAAAAGAGTAGGTATCTTCCCAGTGCTGACAAGACCTCGCGGGAACAGATTAAGCAACCCCCTCCGCCCTCCGAAGGAGAGGAGACCACGGCCATCCCACGCCGAGCGAGCCGCTCTACGGAGAGATCAGACGCGCCGTCAGCAACGACAACAGCCACACACACCACCAACCATGCGAGTCGTCAGACGAGTCGTGCTGATCGCGGCGTTGGCGTCGTGCTTCGTCTCCACGCTACCGCAAGCAGAGGCGGCGAGCTGGACTGATCGTATATTCTCCGGCTTCCTGAGCTTCGGACGCGCGTTCTCCAACGCGACGCAAGTCGTGGTCGCCAGAGTCAAGGTCCTGGTGAACCCCAGTGGCTCCAACAAGAAGCAGGACGTGAAGGATATCGACATCTTCGCCAGCGTTTGCAGTTAAGTCTCGCTTGTATTTTTTTTTTATTTAAAAGAAAACATTTGTGTGTGTGTGGGGGGAGGGTGTGTGTCCGTTGGTTTATGATCGGAATAAATAAAATGGCGCTAAACAAGGACGCAAGGTCACGAACAGTTACAGAGCTGTGTTTGTGTGTGTCGTCTGCTTGTCCGTCTGCCCCTTTTTGTCGCTGTTCTATTTATTCTCGTCATGCACCGACTGGTCACTCGTGATGGCGTTCTTAACATAGAAATATATTCCGCAGGTTTTAACATTGTATATAATGACACTGCCAGACTTTAGAAATCGTTTGCTCGCGATACGGCGGCTTTCCTATGGAATTTGTTATAATAGTGTAACTTTCCCGTTGTAAGGGTTAAGAGGATGACCCTTGACGAGTACCCGCGCACAGAATCTATACAGCCGTAACTGAAGTTAAAAAAAAAGGGGGGGGGGGGGAAGCAGAAATTTTGAGCTTAGCAAAATCTTCACATTTATGGAATTCTGTTAAACAATGTGCGAATTCCATTTAAGCAAGTTCTGCGACATCTTGGTAAAACTAAATTGTCATATGTGAGAAATGTATGACCCATAGCAACTGCCTAGGTGCTAATATATGAAAGTGAAACGTGTTCAGTAACGGTGATACAAAAAATTATGCGCTCTAGCTTGAAGTGCGGGAACATCAATGATACCCCGAGGAAAATGTGCGTCTGGCGTGCGCTAAACGTTCGAGCACTGTGTGGTGTTCGGAGATACTATTCAATGACCCATTTACATCATGCCCATCGCAATCTTTCATTCAGGTTTGAGCGGTTCAAATCGCCGACTGCTCATCAAGTGCCTGCGGGACAACGACGAGGAACTGGTCAGTTTGAACTTCGGTATCGAACTTTTTCGCTCCAAACTTTAACCTTACCCAGTCGGGTTATTATCCTGCGAATAAGCCAAGACTACAGTGCGAGCGTGTCTCCGACCTTAGTGCGTATAGCGTCCTATGCGAGAGCAAGTCGCCTGCTCCTTGTGAAGGAGATCCGGTGACATCAGAACGACGCCGAGCTATGATTGGCTTTGATTGAAAGGATGTCCTGAGGTATACCCACTATTTTTTTTAAATTAACCAATAAGAGCTTGGAGTTCTGACATCATCGCAACGGCCGTGTACAGCAAGCAGACGAACTTCCGCTCCGCATTCCTCACACGCATTGAAAGTGATCCTGAAGTGGCAACAAACGACGTCACGAGAGCCGGAGTGTCATGTTGTCGGATGTCGCGATCCTGGTGGTTGGTCGTAGAAGTTCCGGCAAAAAACACGAGCAGACGCGAGTGTCGCTGTTCTCACGGCGTCTCAACTTCCGGCCGCCGAAGCTTCCGTGGGCTATCAAGCTGGAGAGAAGCGACCCGCAGCAAAACAGGCGTCTGCCGCATCTACCACCGCTGCTGCGACACACCGCCAGGGTCGCGACCGGTGACGACATGACACAATTCTATGACGTCATAAGGCGGAAATCGAGGGACCACTCTTTTGGACGCGGTAAAACACACCAGCCGGAAACGCGTTCAAGACACCATACCGAGATTGAGTACAAGATTGAGCACTCAACGTTTTCAGCTGAAACCTGACTGGCAGAACTGCATCGGATCCGCCAAAATCGAGGTTCTCACAGTCGAGGATCTCTACCATTGGGCGTGTTCACGGCTCGCGTCAGCAGCCGAGGTGAGGGGAATTTTTTTTTCGGATTCATGCTTACACTTTATTTACTTACTTATTTCGTACTGCGAACCTTCAGTTGTCCAATATTTGAGTGGCAAACATAGTGAGGTACAGCTTACATAATCCTAGCAAGTGAGGGAGTACTGCAGCAAGTTGCTTGTTAGTTCATCGTAACAAGCCAGTCACCTCTGCAATGAGAAAGAGGCAAGATTCTGAGCAAATTATGCATGAGGCACCTGAACTGCTGATAACAGTTTCAGGAGGGCTGTTCTATCCGGCATTATTAAAAAGAAAGCAGCGCAAAAGGACGGTGCAAAGGTAGAAGGAGCACATAGGACAGACAGCCCGCAACCAACTAGCCCAGCAATCCGCTTTCCTACTGTTCATTGCATGTTGCTGTTTGCTGCGGTTATGCTTCAATTCTCGTCCCGAACAATCAAATGGGATCAGTACTTACAAGCGTAAAAGTATGCACAAACTCAGGCTAGTTCTGTTCTTGTTAATGCGTAGTACTTTGATTAAAAAAATTACTTGAATGTTCAATAAACACGTGAGAACATACAAGATAATATAAGAACTTATATACGCCTTATATAATCTACACAAGTTCTGATAGATACGTTTATTGGACAAATCATATGCTTTCAACTGAAGTTCGAGCGTTACCAACTCTGCGAGCAAATTTGGCCAATCAAGCTTCTCAGAAAGCGCTAGATAACGCATTTGTTTGTGTGTGTTTTTTTGTGCCTCTGGTAGCGCCAATTGATTCAATTAAGCGCCACGAATGTGTCGTGTTCTTTTTTTTTTTTTTTTTTTGTCTGCGCATTTTTGAGTTTGTTGTAACTACCTTTTTGACCCTCTCGTACGTAAGATGAAGCAGAGTACAGTTCTATGCAGTTATGATTCTAAAATGATGGCTGTTTAGTTTAAAATAACATATAAATAATTTTAGGACCGGCAGTTGAGAGCGCCGGACCGGCGAGTTGAGAGCGCGGCAGTTGAGAGCGATAACAATCGCCGGTTGACGGAAGTTGGCCCGTTGTCACGGCCAACTGCGAACGCACGCCAGCGTGTCGTTTACGCGTTGGGAACGACGCTTGTATGAAGACAAGGACGTGCCTGCTCCGATCGGGATCTGCACACCACAGCTCGAGCAGTTCGGGACACGTTTCGTTTCCTGTCATAGAAGCACGTTCGTACCAAAAACGTCGTCTAACTGCGTTAAAAAAAAAAAAAAAGAAAAAGAAAAAAACATAATACTGTTTTTTGGTAAGCTTTAGATAATGACAGAACACGCGAACTTTCGTATCGGCATAGGATCACTGACGCTACATATTTTGCCTCTCTACATATACAGGGTATTCCACGTAACTTTAGCCAAGCTTTAAACATATTTTGGGTGTACCTTAGGAAACGATACGAAAGGAATGAGGTTGTTTAATGTTTTGAGCAAGTGAGGCTATTCTTGTATTTTTCCCAGTTGACTAATTCATTAAGATTAGTTGATTAACTTTTGAAATATTCAATTTAGAGCAAAAGTTCCGATGACAAAGTTGTAGAGCGTGCTTAGAAACATCCAATTGAGGGTTTTTTTTATCAAGAAAGATTAACACGGTTCTTTTGTCTGGACATAAAAAAAAAGAACACGCGAATTATGAAGAAAAAAAAAAGTTAATCTGTTAACAGCGCCCTGTCAATAGTGCTCTATTCAGCATGCGGGCCTAGTTTATTCTAACTTTAGTTTATTCGAGCCACGACTGAGAGCGCTGCAATACAAGGCGCGTTAAAAGGCGCGCAGGCCCAGTCATGTGTTTATTTCGTAATTAACAAACGTTTCGCAAAGTTAAAAAAAAAAAATTGTGTTAAGGTTTTTTGATAAAAAACACTGAATTGGATGTTTCTGAGGACGCTCTACAATTTTGTCACTGGAGCCTTTGCTCTAAAATGAATATTTCAAAGTTTCATCAATTACTCTTAATTAATAACTTAATTGGGCAAAATACCAAAAAGAGGCCTGACTTGCACCAAACAACGAACAAACTTATTCATTTGGTTTTGTCTTCCTAAAATACACCAAAATAGTTTGAAAGCTTGGCTAATGTCACATGAAACACCTCGTATATGGTACACTTACACGAGCGAAATGTCCGTATTTAGCGGTAGGGGACCTACCTAACAGCAGTATTTTATTGTTATAGAAGCCTGTAATATCTTATTTATCTTGGTTCCCTAACACAGACCCCTTACACCCTTTATTCGGTGGCCAAGTACACATTATTACCTTATTATGCACCCGTCCGGTGTTATTTATTTGATGCACTTTATAAAAAGAACCACAAATATGTACGCACGCACGCACACACACAGATACACACGCACAAAATGAAATTGTATTGTTTTCCTAAATTTTTTTTCTTGTACTATACGTATGTGCGCATTTTTTTACCAAGCTTACATCAAAGGCGGATCTCTCGTGTCATACACCACCAAGGGTACCTCGTGACCGCCCGATTACAAATACGGGTTTGTTTTTCCGCTTTTCCGTATATTAGCGATTCTTCCGCTACGTTAATTGGACGAGGAGAGGTATTTTCGCCGACGAGCAGTTGATCCCGACGTTGGATTCGCATATCGTAAAAGCGAAGTCCTCCTTCATGGCCACACCGAAGAAAGTCATGCCTACCTCGCCGATTCCGGTCTCAGCAGTAAGAAAAAAAAAAAATAAAATAAAATAAAAAATAAAGGACTGCGAGGAGGAATTGATTAGGGTCTAAAAGAAGGAAGTGACTCGACCTTCCTTCCTTCTGCTAATATCTGGACGCTGTAGACCGGGTAAAGCATTCATACCTAATGATGGCTCGAGGACGGATACGCGGCGTTCGTTCGTTCTTTTCTCGAAATGACGTAATAAGGGGTTCTCTTTCTTTTCTTTTGAAATCAGAAGTTATTATTATTTTTTTTTTTTACAATGCATAAGTGTCATGGTCGGCGCCATTTATGACGCGACGCGCGAGTCAGTAAGCCTTGACTTTAATCTCAATCACTGCGTCGCCAAGCGATGTTTGTATTGATAATACCGGAAGCATTGGCTTGCGTCTTGTGAGTCACGAGTCAGTTTTTACCAGGAGTGAAGTTTTGAAAGGTGCAGGGTTTTGAGCGAGTCGCCGAACGGATGTCGGACGATGGCACGAAACTTGCGATTTTAGTGAATGTTGTAGTTTATTTCATTTCATTTCATTTATTATACTCTCAGGGCCAGAAGGCATTACAGAGAGGAGTGGAAATATATACATCAATATAAGGTGAACAATAAAAACAAAACGCAAAAAACAAACAAAACACAAGGTACAGAATCGCTATGGAACATTGTTAAGAACATCAGTTATGGCGGTTTTAAAATCAGCAGCGTCAGTAAGTGAGACTACGGATGCGGGAAGGCGGTTCCAGTCGACGGAGGTCAGAGGTAGGAAGGAGGCATAAAAGGTGGAAGTGATGCAGTAGGGGATTCCTACTTTTAGTGGATGATCGGTGCGCGGCGATATGTATGATGGTTCTGAAATTAATGAGGCTCGAAGTGCTGGGTTAGAGTGATAAATTTTGTGAAATAAGCAGAGGCGAGCTATTTTTCTACGAAAGGAGAGATTGGGCAAATGTAGAGACGCTTTCATGGAGGTGACGCTGGCTGTACGGTGATAGTTAGAAAGTATAAAACGTGCGGAGCGATTTTGAATGGATTCAATGGATGATGCTAGGGATACGCCAGGGTTCCAGATAGAGCCTGCATACTCAAGTTTGGTGCGCACTAAAGTTTTATATAGGAGAAGTTTAAGTGAAACAGGGGCAAGGGAAAAGTTTCTTCTGAGATAGCCTAATAAGCGATTAGCGTTGTTAGTGATATAGTCAACATGGATGTTCCAGGAGAGATCGTTGGTTATATGAACACCGAGATATTTATAGGTAGACACAGAAAGCAAGGTGGAGTCGCCGTGTCTTGGATCACGAGTTTGTTAAGATGTGATGTGAAGCGATTGAGTACCGCAAAAACAACTTCGAAGTTCTTATGTTCTATTCCTTCGGCGCACAGACAATGCACAATGTATATATATATATATTTTTACACCAGACGTCAGGTTTGAATATTCAGAACACAGCTTTGCAACCGAGTAGGACCGGCTGAGACAAGACCGCTGTTTAAGCCTCTTGCGACGGCTTAAGACATCGCAGCATCGCATTGGTGATACGCCGTTGCAAGAGGCTTAAAACCCGGTCTTGTCTCATTCAATCGTATTCGGTGACGAGTGGGTGAACGGGTTTTTATACGATATATGTCGACATCATAAGCGCGAAACTTCAATGACAGTTTGACAAGATGCACTTCGTAGACGAACGTAAGCCTTTGTTTTGTTCGGCACCTAAATCACTCGAGACGACAGCTTTCGAGGTCTTAGTAAGTATGCCGTAAAAATGGGTAAAACACACAAATACAGATCGCTATGCTATGTATAAACAACGTCGGGGATTACTTCAAAATGCTCTTTATTTAAAAACAAAATTTCCAACCAGAAATTTAATTAGAAAAAAATGTAATTCCGTCGTTTCGACACCGATGCGGTGCCGAATCGGGTGATTGTAAAGATGAGTATCCTTTCTGTCAACCGAGAACGTCCGCCTCCAGATAATCGCAAGACGCTAGGTCTGGAAAACAAATTTATGTAGTTGTTTATTGTACCCACGGGGGCATGGACGCACTGCAGAGGGATGTGTTGAATGAAAACGTACAAAAAAAAAAAAATGAAACACGTCAGGAGCAACGTGAATAACACTCATACAATATAGTATAGTATGCCTCTGACTGGCGCCGACGTTTCACAAATGGCGTATTCAGACGCGTCGGCCATGTCCCTGGACAAGTTTCTACGAAATCGGTGACGTCCCAGGCGAAGAAAGCACGCAAAACTCTGGAGCTGGTCGACGGATCACAGGAACGTGTCCGGGGACGAGTCCGCGGACCTGTTGAATGTTGTGTACCACGTGGGCAAACGTCAAAATAGGTCTGCGGACCTGTCATACCACTGTTATCGAGATTTAAGACCCCTTCAATTGCCGCTTTTTTCCTGGTTCGGCAAGGCCCGCGCAAGGTCCGCGGACTCGGCTAACTCGGAAGGAACCAATCGCGCCAAACTTCTCGCGCAACTGCTGGCTGCCCATGTCGTCCTTTTTTTTTTCTCTCTCGTACTTTCTACGGACCACTTTCGTCGTTTGTTGATATATCTACCCTAGTTATGCGAGCGATCTGTCATTGAACCGAGTACATATTTTGAGGTCGGGGAAATATATGAACATAAAAAGAAGGATTGAGGTCCCTTGTCCGCCCCCGCCTCTAGGGCATTGCAGACTTTAAGCCAAACTAAAATAAATGATAGGATCCTTGGATCAAATGGAAATGTCATAGAAAAGCCAATGAGTATCCGGACTAAAATAAAATCTGGACGTCGCAAAAAAAAAAAAAAAACGACTCGGGAGGAACCGAAAGGAAGAAAGGACCCTGCAGGGCCCGACACCAGTTCAACCCGTCAAAGGGGTACAAAAGGGCGACGCTTGAGGGTCGACGATGGTCACAGGATCCGGGTCAAGTAGTGAACCAAGCTTCTGATCTTCACCTCCTCCCAAAGAGGAACCTGATTCAGGCCCTGTACATTTCTTGTACATTTCTGCGTTTCTACAGCTGTACATTTCTTGGCCAACGATTACATCGCACATGTACCGTCAAAATTGGTGGTATGAACACGTTGAGTAAAAAATTGTCGTGAGTTTGCTGTCTTACTACTACACGAATCAATACGCGACTGTACATTTTCTTTTCTTTTAGAGCGCAGCTCTTAGGCGTCGGTTTCCGGCTTGATCGGCGTCGCCGTCGGCGTAACCGCCCCCCCCCCCCCCCCCCCCCCCCGAGGACCTCGCGGGCTTCTTCGGGAGGACATCGGGTGCCTTCGGTGACCTCGGGGAGGAGGGGGGGGGGGGGGGTTCACGTGACGCTCACCCCCCCTTCCCCGAGATCACGTGACCCCCCCCTTCCCGAGGTCACTTGACCCCCCCCCTCAGTACCCTTCCCTCCTCCTCCTCAAGAGCTGCGCTCTAATTCGGCGTTACAGGGAGTTGTAAACGGCTTTCACTTTTGTTATCCATTATTGGCGAGATTTTTGTCCCGTTGTGTTTTTCGTGTGTGGGTATCGCGTGGCACTGTGACATCATGTCACGTGACGTTACAAGCTTTACGCTAACTTTCTACTCTAAATACGGAATTTTCGAAGATCGCTCCTGCCGTCCTGCAACGCTTTCCGTAACCGGCTTCCAAGATCCGGAACACCACTGACGAGGCTATCGGTGCGCGTGCGCAACACAGGCTCGTCCTCGATGCTGAGAGCGCAGTGGAGGGAGGGAAACGTTCTATAAAAAACTATGCAATGTTCCCGCTAATTTTAGCAGCAATCTAGTGTCACGCGATCACAGTTCCATAATTTTACACACGGCAGTATAACTGTACGCAGTATAGTGTGCGCGGCGCCTGAGTCTTTTGTTGGGCTAGTAGGTTCATCTGTGAATGCAAACAGTATTCCGTTTACAATACACGAAGGTTAAGGAGTAAACAAGGCCAGCGCCTGCAAACGAACCGCGGTCGGCAAGGAACCATCAGCTTGTTTTCTGGTTGATTTCAGGATCTAAAACTACGACATCCTCCTTGTTTTTTTAAACAAAATGAGCGACTTTGGCCAACTGCCCTGTCCATGGTTGGGGCAACAAAAATTTCGTGTCCTTTTCTGCGCACGACACGTGCTCATATCGCGCACTCGGAAACCGACGCCTCGTGATAAGTGTGAGATACATTTCACTGATTTCCCGGCTGTAGAGGGGGGGGGGGGGGGGGGGGGGGATGTTTGTTAGAGTGTCGCGTTACACCCGTATAGGCTTCCTGGGCTGAAGCTTTGAACAAACTGTGGCGCGCTCATTTTGGGTAGTACGAGCTCACTTGATTGGGCCTCACACTACTTGTGGCACCTTCGCTGAGCTTTTTTTTCTTTCTGTGTAGTGCTGAAGAACGGTAAAACACTTTTCAACGTCTAGCGTCCCGATGGGGTCTTTTTTTTCTCGTTTTTTGTTTGTTGGGGGGAGAGGGGGAGGGGAGGATGGCGTGATGCGGCGTTTTATGGTTCACACATTTATTGTCTTAGTAGACATGATTAAAATAGCGCAAACTTGACAAGGACAACAAAGAAGGCACACGTACAACAGGACTGGCGCTTTGTCTTAGCTTTGGCCTGCGCTTCGACAGCGTTAAAATGTTTTTTTTTTTTTTTTTTTTTTTGTCGCGTTTTACACGAGAGCAGGCACGCTTCTACATGCGTAACAGTTTGATACGCTTAAGTTTGTACTGCCCAAAACAAGTCCTAACAAGTCCCTTCTCACAGCGCCTCCTGGGCAACGAGGCCATGCCGCGGGAAGGGAAACCAGGAGAGCTGGCTGCAATATCGCTCAAATCTTCGCTCCCCCGGGGGTTCTCCCCTTGGTCTCGCCCATAGTCACTGATTGTAACTGAAGAAGCGCGGGGCGGGGTGCGTCCTCAAGCATCACGTGACCGCTCCCTCGGTCAATATGGCATCGCGGTAATGGCCGATAAGTACACTGAAGAACGAGTCACAAAGCTATACTCGTAGACGTTAGTAAACCACGCCCTGTGAATCCTACTGTGCCAGGGACTGCAGGCCGACGCGCAGTTTGTAAACAAAACAAAGACGCGCAGTTTGTAAACAAACACATTACTTAGGAATGTTCACTTTCTCTTGACAAAATTACTTGCGCCGGTACAAAAACAAAAAAAAAAAAAAAAAACAACCGGATTATCATTTTAAATCTTACCACCACTATACTACGACTCTATGCGTCACAACTATACCACCACCATCGTGTGATGATAAAATAAAGGTAGGGTCATGATATTGTCGTGCTCAATTGCAAGTCGAAGTTACTGATGTGTGTGATACAGGCGCAATGATGTCTCAAGTGAACACATGTCGCGTTTGAAATAGGTGTAGCATGGATAGGTGAATGCTCATTAGTCGTCATTATAGAAGGCGAAATACACACAGTTTGTATAACTGTACGGATGTTAATGGGTGTAGTGCTGGTAGTTAGCGCCTTGAGTTCTACCTTAATATGTTTTTCAATGGCGCTTTGCTGCCTCGAGTGACGAGTGAACACATGTCTCAATATACCCTTTTTCAAAACGGCGCGCCACCTGCTTGGGCATGTATTGGACACAAAGGCTCCATCAGCGCTCGGCAAGAGCTCGGGAACCCAATCACACAAATGGCGACCGCCAGTGTTGGTCAAGGGGGTTTAAAAAGAAAGGGGGTCTATTGGTCATATCAATTGAAGCATTCTTTGAGTTGGGATTTTTGATCAGTAATTGTCACCTCTCGTTTGCTTCTTTCGCACATGGCCCGCAGTTTCAAGAATTCCGGAATACATCGCAGTGTTTACTCGAAGGCATGCAAAAGGCATCTATCGCCGCCTCTATAAGGGTAAGTAAGGTTCCTCATTGCATTATTAAAAAAATAAACGTAGGAGAGAGAGAGAGAGAGAGAGAAGTATACGACTACTCACGTATTAATGAAGGTGAGTAAGAAAGATTATTAGCTCCGATATATTACGAGTTCTGTGCCGTCGTGGCAAGCATGTTATTGGGGTATTCTCTGGCTAGGTGGCGCAAGCCGCCGTCCAATTAAAGATGGAGCATCCACATGCATCTATCAATCTAGTTTAGGGAAAACACTGGGGACAGCTTTGAGCGGCGAGTCCTCAGCCTGCGGATATGGTGCGGAAATTATGCCAAAATTGAGCCGAAATGTTTTTTTTTTTTTTGTACTTTGGGCTTTTGTAAATTGCACCTTCTGTAAACATTTATAGTTCACTGAAAGTTTAATAAACGCCGGGCGTGGCGTTTATAGTCACTTGGCAGACAATGAGACTGCGACATCTGTCGATAAGAAAGCCGACGCGTGAAATCTTCTCAATAATCGCCTTCTGTGGGCTGCCATCTTTGTCGACTGGGCCGTAGAATACGTTCTTAGCGCGTGCAGTAGCACTCTCTCACGAAATATGAGACACTTCGTATGGGTACAGAGCCCAGTGACTCAGCATTTTTCGCCTGGGTGATAAGCGCTGATAAGGGCTATAGACACGCGTAAGGCAGATTGTCGGCGGCCCTTTAATGTTAGCCAGCACATTTAAGTGAGTTACTTAGGTGGAGGGGAGTTCTACATTTTAATGAACGTATTATTCGTATTCGTAATTGATCACTATATTAACGTGTAAAGTTATTTGGCTAGTTCGGCATTTCATGAAGCCTGATAAGCGTGGCCGCGAAGCTCGATGCTGATTGGTTAACTGGGGTCACGTGACCAGAGGGGTAGGAGAGGAGGAGCTCGACCACCTGTGCGCACTGAGGGGGAGGAGTTTGAGAGTATGGTAGGCTTTGGAAGATCGTCATGTTTATCAGCCCGATTAACGGTAGTATCGCTTCATTCGAGGAGCAACTATCAAGGTGTTGCGTACGTGAAAGTCAGAATATCGTAGAACGTTTGTGATATGCTAGAGCATTTTACGTATGCAACATGATCACCTAGCAACTTGGCATAGATCTTTAACTATAAATTAATATAGAAGTCATTAATAGTAACTACATTGGCACCTATAGCCTAAATGGGATGGGGAGGGGAGTAGGGGGGGGGGGGGGGGCGGACGGCCGCTGGCGGTGTTTTGTCTTTTCCTGCAAAAAACTACGACAAATTAGAAAGCTGAACAAAAGGCGAAACCAACGTTCGGTTTTTTCTTATGCTTCGAGTAGGGTTCGGAGACCATGGAAGGTGACCTATAGCCGTGTAATTAATATCTATCGTTTATTTTGACAGGACTGCAAAGGAAGTTCAAGACCATACTAAGGCTCCAACCAACAACGTTCCAGAAATAAAAGCATATCCCCACGGTGCTTCTTATTCACATATATGAATCAAGTGTCGTACAGGGGGTCTTCTTGAAATTCAGTTCTATCTGGTGGCTCAGATAGCAGTTTACCTTGTACCGTACTAATGGCGGTAATCGACCTGCAGTCTGCAGTATTTTGCCGGGCACCATCACCTTCGCTAGCCAACAGCAGTCGAAAATGTTTGTTTTTGCCTTTCTGGATCTCTCAGTTTCGATGGAGGCAAGTATACAACCGGTAAAGACGAAGCACCGACCCACACTGAAGCCGTGATAAAATTTTATAGATCGAGTGACTGTATAAAGCCTATTATGTGCCACCAACAGATTGACTGTACCCAAGTAAGAAATGGGCGCTAACTCTTGTATTTAATTCCTGCGTCGCATCGTACTAATGTCTCAAACGTATAGGCCTCGCATCATCCGATTTGGAGCATCTTCAACGTCTTCTATAATTAGTAACCACAAGGCCGCCATTAGCACGACCTACTCGTGGCCATTAGTAAAGTGAACTTCCATTAGTACGAACATATGCCATTCCTGAGATGATGATAGTGACCAAAGTGGCCAGATTGAAATTCGGAAAGGGTCTTTATCGGGTGGAACCACCTCGCTAGACTACGAACTCCTCTTCTACTTATGTTGCTCCTCTTCTGCTTTTTCTTCATTGATCCTTTCGTTGTTCCCTTCCTCCTATAAGTAAGAGGATTGGTGCCTTGCTTTTCCTTCCTTTTCCATGGTAAGTAATGAAACTTACCGCACGCTTATCTCCACAAAGACGACAAAGAAAAGGTTATTTATTGGTCGTAAGTGGAGCTGTGGTGGAGCGGTGACGCGACGTTGAAATGTCTTGTTGCGCCAGAGAAACCCCAAATGCTGCGCAAAAGATCCTGCGCAGTCCAAGACTGTTCTTTAGCAGCCCGGACAAGGACGACAAAGGGTACGTGGGGCCTGTTATTATTAGTAATAGTTCTAATTTCTTCTTAGGAGCGCCACAGGAAGGCAAGTCACCCACATCATATCGAGGGTTGCAAAGTCAAATCTATGCGTTGCGGAAGTTCGTCTGCTTCTTTCGCAGGGGTTGTAGTGACGTCAGAAGGCCGAATTCCGATTGGCTCTGACTGAAGGACAGTGGGTAGACCTCAAAGCAAGCTGCCCTGAGGTCTACCCACTATCTTTCCAATAGAGCCCATCAGAGCTCGACGTTATGACGTCATCACAACTTCTGCAAAAGAAGCAGACGAACTTCCGGTCCGCATAGGCCCTTTGCTCTTGGGCAGGGGCGTGAGCGCGTCTGCAAGACTACTGAAGACATGACCATGTAATGCTGGCTGCACCATCCACGCGACACGGGCATAGAAGGGACGCTGTAACGTCTGATAATGGGCGAGCCACGTTCGAGTACAAGTGTCTGTCAGCATCTGTCCATGCGCAAGAACAAAAAAAAAAAAGGGTAAAAAAGAATTATAATAAAAAAAAAATTGTGCAGGTCGCGATCTCAGCGTTCTATATGAAACAGTCGTTTCAGCTTTATTATTTGTATTGTTTTCTTTCATACTCTCCGTGAGTATATTTCACTTTACGTGATAGCGAAGCCAAAGCTACATGCAAAAGCAGGCTACACTGAGCGATGCTTGCACCAACCTCGCACTGCACAAGCGCGCGTGCTTGCCTCGCTCTTGGAACCTCTGAGCTTGCTCTTTTAGCCTCTGCGACGCTGGCACTTATGTAATGGAACGCAATATAAAAAAAACTCTAGTGGGGAAGCGTAATGACGCAGGTTCGAAACGCGAGCTACAAATATTATATTTTGCTCGCCTGAAGCGCTGCTCAAAACTTGAGAGCTACGGGCCTATTGGCGACGAGATGTTTTGGTGGCGCCCTCTAATGGTTTCTAGCACTGACGTCATGACCGAGATTATTAGTAGCGAGCGACAAGTTCGATGGTGCGTAAAAAGTGCGATGGAAGCCTGGTCATCACGTTTCTAACTCAACACCGTCATAGTTGAGAGTCTGATTTTGTTCTTATTTCTGTCGACGAGAGCAGAACTCATCCTACTAAAGATGTCATTATAAGCGTTTTGACAACGATGCTCACACGTCGCCAATACCGGCAGAGAAGTGCTGACATGGGTTAAGATGGAAATTATGGTGGATCGGTGGAAGGAGGAGACAGTGCGCCGTCTGCATACATGAATTCCACTGATGTCATATCGGCGGCCATTGTGGTGGCCATGCTGCTGAGCGCGTATTTTCTGTAGCATGCATTTCGTACCATCGAATTTGTTTCTCTCGACAATAACAAGCAGGAATGACCCAAATCGACTACCAGCACGTGGCGCTGAGGTCAACTGCAGGCCACGTATGGATTCTCAAACCGAGTTCCTATGAACACAGGTGTTCCCCAGAGCACCCTGGTTTCCCGAGCCCTTAAATTTCGTAGACCGTCCCCACTTCTAAATAATGTGTATCTTCAGTTTAAGCATCGTTTTTAAAATATCTGAGCCACCCATTGATGCATATTTACACGAACCAGACACTCCGGCCCTAGCCTTTCCATTATTGTTTCCAAGGTCGGTAGATTTCTACACAGATTTACTGCTTCAATGCCGAAACCGGGATGGGTTCCTCGTGTCAGAAATGTTTGAGAGCCCCTGGCTTAGAGGGAAAGGTACGAAACTACTAGGACATACAGGGTGGGTTAAATTGTGTCTGTGTGTGTAGGGGGGGGGGGGGGGTGAAGGTAGGAAGGAAGCGAAAATACATAGCATAAAATAATGCAATGCAGATAGCTAAGAGTGATGGTGTCCCTATTTCGTTTTCGTAGTTAATGTTTGTGTGTGACTTGCACACGTACGAGTATAGACGGAGATGGTCTCATGAACAGGTTGAAGTTTGGGCTGCACTTGCAGGAATTGAGCAATGACAACCAGTTACCAACGAGGCTGAAGGTAAGGCTCTTCTTTGTCTCTTACAGCGCTTCCTACTTTACATTCCCGAAGCGTATTCTTCCGGTACCTTAAACTTTACGGGTGGTCCGTCGTGGTTCACTTCTGCATTATGTAAGAGGCCTATTTAGGTTTCTTTTTTAGAGAATCCCAAATTTACCGGAATAACATACCGTTCATTTGTGATGCAATAATGACCTGAACCACTAGGATACTGTTAATCTAAGTTATTCTAACTTTCGCAGGAATTACACCTAATGCAATAACGCAAGTGGTTGGATCAAGCTGCTTAATACTCACTCACTTAGAAATCCTCACGAATGGGTCATTATTGTAGCTAACAATCATTGTATGCGAAACTATACACCGTGAACCTTCAATGTAATAGCTCGTTGTTTTTTCACGTTTTTGTTATAGAAACGACGCACCATACTGCGCGTTGCGCCAGCATGTATTACTCATATATAATTGATCTAACGAAACACGTTTTATGGGTTCTTTTGCCAAGAGATTGTAGGAGATTCTGAGTAGTTAAAATGATGGCGTGTATGTTCTACCTCACCGCTGGCAGCTACTTCTGGATGTCCTTTACGAGCATGCGCCGAATCATGTTCACGTGTTCGGGCTCCAACCGCACGTGCCAGACTGCCTGGAGCTCAAATCCAAGCTGGAACGCAGTACCCGAATTCCTTGGCACGGGTATTCCGTCTACGTGCAAGCGTATACGTTCCTGGTACGTGTGACCGATTCAAAGCTCTGAGACACGTACGACACGCATGTTATAGTGGCAAGCATGTCAAATACTATAAGATGCAGTTTGAAAGGTACATTTGACGTGTCCGTGAACAGCGGCTGCGGTTTGTTGGTTTAGTCGGACGAGGTACTTAACATTGCTCGTAAAACGGTCCTCTTTGGCACCTGCAGTGTGACGCGAGTACTTGCGCCAAAAGCCACTGACCAAGAAGCTTCATTGTCGCTGTGTAATTTCGAGCATAGAAGCGGGCTTCTTTTAGACTCGAGTATATCTTTAAGCAATATTACACATAAATCTGAAAATCTGATTGACAACTTTTGCGCCTAATGTCTTTCGTAAGTTTGTTCGCGGATACACTGCTTAGAAAAGATGACTCTGCCAGGCAGATTGAAGGACAGTGTCAGTAATCAATTACTTATACGTGTGATCTAGTCATTCTCTTATCACTAATTATGTTGAGCATTATAGAACCTGAAATTTTATTAATATCTAAAGTAAATAGTGACCGCGGTTACTCTCGCTTATAAAGTTAGGAGACAAGAGAAAAAAATGAGAGAGTCACGGGCGAAAAAAAAAATGAAAATAAGGGAAAGTGCAGAGTGCGCTAAGCAGTTTTGTTCATCGTGACTTTGGTTCACGGTGATGTGCCGTACACTGGGCGTTCGGAACATCACAGGATTATTTCGCTGCCCATTTCTATAACCTTAATCTTTTTTCTTTCAATGAACCAGAACTTTTTGCAATGCCTGCCAAGCCCGCTCTTGATGAACGAGATTTTTCACGAGTGGATGGAAGTAACCACCTCCAAGAGCGTGCTGGCTACAAAAGCCAAGTTGATGAGGTAATCAACGACTCTTCTGTTCTAGCCTTAGGTTCCCTGCTCATTAACTCAATAATTTACCCAAGAGTACGGCGCTCAGATAGCATCCGCTGGAACTGGAGAGGTTGTCAGTTGAACTTCCTTACTGGCCGACATCGGCCATCTTGACGCCGGAAAAGTGTCTAAAACGTCTACTCGGGAGTTACGATCAGCTGGTGAATTATGACCAGGTGAAAGCTAACGCACATGTGTTGGTTTTAGCTCGTAAATTTTTATGTTAACTAGCGTGTAGTCAAGTCGGCCAAAAGAAAATGTCTTGCTGATTGCGGGCAGTCACGGCCAGGTTTGACCGCCTTAAAACAATTCGTACAGCTCCTTAATTATAAACATTCGACTTTGGCGCTGCCACATGGTCTTGAAACAAGGCTTGAAGCTCTGGTACTTCGGGAACGTTCAGCAAGGAAGGAACAATAGGGAGAAATGATGATAATGCAAATAAGGCAAAGGTGCAAGCGAGCTGGACAAGAATGACGATAACAATAATCCCTGGAGAAGGGGAACAAGGGGGACAAAGCACATACACAAATCTCCAAACACAGGTAGGTGACTGGTGCGCGACTGAAAAAATACCCTGGTATCGAACCAGCGACCTTTCCATTTCCGGTGGAGCATTCCACCAACTGAGGTTACGCGCCAGTTGAGCGAACTGGTTTTAATAGCTGCCACCAGTCTAACACCAACAAGGGTAAACGGCTCGTTGTTCAAGGTTATGATGATATAGCAATTAACGCAAAGGTGCAAGTGAAATGGAAAATAATAATGATAATACTAATAATAATCGCTGGAGAAGGGGAGCAAGGGGGACAAAGGGCAAACACAAATTTTGAAACACAGCTAGTTGACTGGTGCGCGACTGAAAAAATCGGCCTGGCCTGGTATCGAACTAATTACCTCTCCATTTCCAGTGGAGTGCTCTACTAACTGAGCTAACCAGGGGTTAGACGTCAGTAGAGAAAACAGGTTTCATCAGCTGCCACCAGGATCAGGTGGAGTTTTTCAGTCACGCATCAGTAACTTTGCTGTGTTTGGAGATTTGTGTTTGTCCTTTCTCCCCCTTGTTCCCCTTCTCCAAAACTTATCATTAACAGGGAGAAGATTTAATGTCCCGCGTCCAACGCGAGCTTTCTACCATAGCCTCCTCTATACTCACAAAGCCTGGCAGTTCGACGACGGAGCCATAGAGTGCCCGGTCACAGATTTGGAGTGCGAGGACCAGGTAGCACAGAGCATCAAAGAGCCATTTCTCGGGAAACCTGGACGTCAACGCACAGCGTTTGTTGCGGCGAGGACCCGACACACACTTGTTCTTTCGGGAGAAGTGTGTTTCGGCGTCTCGCCGCAGCGGGGTGCCGGTCACGTGGCTCTCCTCTCCGTTGTCTGCCGCTCCACCTTTTCCATTTCGGCAGCCGCTTCTCGATCGTGGCGATCTGCCAGGTTTTGTCAGTATATAGGAGGCTATGGTACGGCTAAAGGCAACGAGCACGTGATGGAGCTGCCAGGCTTTCGAAAGAGACGCCCTGCTGTTCTCACTTTGTCAGTGACTATGGTTTCTATTCTTATCCGGAGTCCTAACGAGTCTATAGAAACAGATAACAGAAGCTGGTTTCTTTTACTAAAAAGCTGCTTTTAGGTCAATAGACCGATCTCACCAGCCAGTTTGACTACGCCCCGCTGCCGCATTGCATGGGGGGAACTTTAGTCTTTGGGCACGTGCGACAACCTCGCTGGGGGTCTGCGCCTGTAGAGTACGGGACGGAACGAGCTTTCTCGTGCACTGCCGTCTGCTTCCAGTAAGCTAAAGTTATGGCGGCGTCACGCATGCACCGAACGCTTAGTAAGATCGGTCTATTGTAAGAATATGACCAAAGTGTATTGAGTTGGTTATCCACTTTTACAGCGGAGCTCTTAAAGGAGCGATGCAACAATTTTTGTACTTTGCGCAAATACCGCTTAAAACGGACCCCTAACGTTAATGACCTATGAAACACGCGTTCGTTTTTCACCCCACGCAATAGAAGTCCCAGAAAAAAATTTAAGAAAAACGAGCAGCGTTCACCCCCTCAACTCGCAGCCAGAACAAGCGGCCACGTGATCTGGAGCCGATTATATGCCGCCAGTGTTGATCATAGCCACGCGCTGGGGTTGGCAAAGCGCAGGACACGCGCTGAGTTCCAGACATTGTTATGGCTCGGCTGTTGTCGTCGTTGCAGCGATTGGACACGGGTCACTACCCGAATGCTTCTCGAGCTAGCAATTATCACGAGCCCAAGTCAAGTGCCCACGCAATGCTCGGGTCCAATCTATGAACCGCATTCAAATATCATCACTTGGGTGTACTGCGATCCCCGAGTTACGTCATCACATTTTGCAAAGGAGAGATTGAATGCAAATGATCGCTTTTGTCCTTGAAATTACAGCGCAACAAACGAGTTTCTTGGCCAATGGCGTTGCGTGTGAGTATCCTTGAGTCCCAGGTGTGCCAGTAAGCTCGTGTAGAGAGAAAAACATTCCAATTGAATATCGTTGCACAGGTCCTTTAAGGGCTAGGTTCCCCAGGATCGTGTCCGTGTATGTCGACACAAACCTACCTGGACAGCTACCGCCATCTATAACCGACGGCGGCAAGCACACAACCAGCACGGTTTCCGCCGTCGCTCGTAGATGGCGGCAACTTTTCCAGCTATAATAGAAGAATGAATAGTGGGGCGCGTTGGTGGGAATTCATCGTAGGAAACAGCGCGAAAAACAGACGACGACGACGAAGAAGCACACAGTGTATCGAGTACAGCTCCGCTGGTCTTCCTTCTTCACGAGAGTGGAAAGGCTGAACGATTTTTGTTTTTGCCGGTTTTCGAAAATAACTCGAAACTTACCTGGCAAGCCGTCTTTTTATTGCAACGACGCACACGTTTAAAGTCTTATTCGATATTGAGGTGTGTTTATACTGTATCCCCATTTTTAGAGAGCTCTCTCCGGGTATGCATTCGTACTGCATAAATTGACACCACCCAAGATAAATATTAAGACACCTCATTTGGAACGATATGTTGGATTAGTATATATAAATACCCCGGTCGTGCTCTTTTGTCTTTTCTTCCACAGGCTCTGCAAGTCTCTGCCCGAACTGAACCAGCAGCTCCTCAAGCACGTGCTGTTGATCTTAAGACGAGTCTGCAAGAACGCACCGTTCACCCACACGACGCCAATTTTGGCGGGTCACTTCGTGGGACCGTCGCTTCTGTGGAGGCCGAGCTCCCAGTTCGTGGCCTACCCTTCCGAAGACGTGCATCGCACTTTGGCCAAGCTTGTCAAGTGCCTCATTCTTTTCTTGGACGACATTTGGAACGATTTAAACGAGGAGGTACCAGAGCAGGGGTTTATCTAGGACAATCGACCTAGGGCTCCGTTACAAATTTCAGGGACGAACTTCTGGGGGGGGGGGGGGGGGGGGGGTTAAATCGCCGCACGAGAGTAATGTATGTTTTCAGTGGCGTTCTACATATACGGATTTAGTTATTGTAACGGGAGAGGCCGATGATTGAGATTCAAAGAAGTTAGATGGCAACAATACCCTAGCTGCCTACTCCTCTCTGAGGGAGTGGGAGATCTTTCAAAACAAAATTGGCAAGGTATTTTCTTTGTTACGGGGGAGCACACTTTGGAAGGCCTGGTAACCGTGATGTTAAAGCGAATTGTTTTATTTTAACATCTAGGCTAAGATCAGGGTTTTTTTTTTTTTTCATGAAAAAAGCTGTGCACCGAGGAGGCAATTGTCGTCAGCGTGCAGCAACAAAGACCATGCTCCTGGATTCGACTAAACCTTGTCTAGCCATAAAAATTGGAACTGCTGACGTCAAGAGATCGTTTCTCCGTTTTGTCATTGCAGACTCTCTTTCTGTCTTTTACTGTATTGAGGTTCAAACCAAGACGCTCGGTCTTAGTATTTTTAGGGGTTCCCCTTCTAACATGTACGGGTAAATTTGGTGCGGCATTATGACTTGTTGAAACCGAAAAACAAACTCAGCGGGGCGTTCAATTTCTACCCGTCGTAGACACGGTTTTAGAGTCGTGTCATGTACCGGGTACATGCGAATATGTGTTATTGTATATGACGATAATATGGATGGTCAAACTCCCTTAGTATTGAAGGCATACGTAGGTGGTATATCGATGTACTCCAACTATACCATCATCCGGTATTGAAAAAACTTTGGTAGTTTAACTCTTAGAAATGATGGATCTCAGTCGCCGGTGTTTCATATCTAGAGAATCTATTAACCGCCTGTTGTAACTTTTTCCGCATCAGGAAATGTTCCCTACTTTGAAACTGCAAGCGACTCGGGACGCCAACGGCACGCAGAAGCCATCGGACGCGTTCGTCGGCCGCAGCGTCCCTGCGTACGTGGATGAGATGGAGCAGGAGTCCAGGAGGAACAACAGAATCAGGGACGTGCTCCAGACTTCACAAGAGTACGCGTCCTTCGAACTTCTCCCGGCATCATCATCCAGTGGAAATGTAAGCCCCACCTCTGGCCGCACAAGTGTTTCCGGTATTTTATTCAAAAGAAGAAGAAAAAAAAAAGATAAAGCGGCCGTTTTATTTGCATTGCAAAGAACTATTACTTTTACCGTTTTCTTGGCCGCTGAGAGAAAAACGTCCACCGATTATTTTTTTAAATTTTTTCTTAAAACTCAACTGACTCACACGGATGTGCAGAGTACGAGGTGTCGACATTAAAATCTGGCAATCCTTGACGTGGAGTGCCAACTGGACCATCGCGCAGTGGAGTCTCTAATGTTCACTGCACAGTAGTATGCATGGCAATACACGCAAAACATTGTTTACGGCTGCAAACAGAAGCGTTTGCTGTACACAGGCAACAAACACTGTTGCATCAATGTGAAATCTATACGATTGATGATTCGACTATGGTCAGTTGCAGGTGAAGTAAAGCAGGACAAGCCCCTCTCCAAAAGCTTTCCCCTTTCTACACTGCAGGGGAAACTAGTGGAGAGGAAGAACTACAATCATGGAGAGCAAAAAGTTTTTTTTGGGAGATGCTTACCTCGCTTTTCTAAAACCCGCCTATCCGCAAGAAACCTTTTGTTTTTCCTCTTACCAGTGTACCTCTTTCTATCCCGGCAGAAGGTCCAGGCGTCGTGTCCGCCAAGCAATCCGTCTGGTTTGCAGCCACGACTGAACAGTCGTTCCGTGCACACATGGCCCGGTTGCGGCAAGGCCAAGGTCGGCCAGGCAGAACTCGATAAGAGCCAATTGAACGACGCGCTTCTCGCGACTGGTGCCGGCGCCGTTGACCGGTCAAAGACGGCCACTTTCCCACGCTGCACACCTGGCGCTATGCTAGAAGACGCCGAGTCGGGTGATCACTTTTCATTCCTTCTGTAACGTCTTCATTGGAAGGGTGGGAGGTTGTGCTTTTAGTAGAAGTGAGCGAGTGCTGCTTCGAATCGGATCGCGTCGTCCTTGGTTTGAGCATTGCAAAGAGATTCGGTATGTCGTGGGCTTCCCTATACTTCGGTTCATCTTAAGTCCACACTTTCCTGAAAAAAAGGTGTATTCTTATACCTTTTGTCGCATATAATACACCCCAAAACTTCAGTTCGACGTATCGGGGTTTTCTTGGCCTTACTGCGAAACCTTGGCGTTTTCTGTCTGTGGTCTTTGATACGTATTTTAGCTATTTAATACGCTATATCGCACCGTTATCAAGCCCCTCGTAAAATTGGGGCCGTCTGTTCGACAATAGTGCGCTGTACGTCGAATTGAAGTTTTAGGGTGCATTATATGGGACAAAAGGGTGTAAGATGGCACCCTTTTTTTAGAGTGTAGACGCAGACGACACTATGAGAGAATGGGACCAATTAAGCAGTGTCAAAAGCGAAAGTCACTAGGCCTTTCCTGTTTATGATTGGTTCAGCGATGATAGAAAACGTACAGAAACACGACGAACACCATGAAGGTGGCGTTTTGACGATGTCTGATTGGTCCCATCAGCTCGTAGGGTCGGCAGCGCCTGGACTTGAGGTGAAACCATGTATAGCACAGTGAAAGCTATGAATGATGCACGAGCTAATCGTCTCGAACCACTATTCGCACACCTCTAATTGAAAGACCCGATTTTTCTTGAAACAACATTTTTCATGAATTAAAATCACCGTGCGCACACAGCACGTATTACTGTTGTTTGAATATGCAATTATAAATGTTTTACAGCGAAGCTGTATATGACTCGTTGGTCTGGTTTTTTCATGTCCGTCGACAGAACAGTGGTCGACAATATAGTTGACAGAAAACCATCGTTCGCGCTTTATCACTGTTCGCGCGCGCCTTATTTCTTACCATGTGGTTTTGACACTTGTTTCAATAAGAAAACCACAAAACAATCCTCAAAATCGCGTGATAGATAAGCACGTAGCGCTCCCCGCATGTGTTTTTGGGTAAAGATTGCGGTTGCATAAGCTGCCGCGGCAACGGCAGAGTACGAAGTGTAAAGTGACGTCACTATATAAAAGAAAAGTTTTGGTACAGTGCATTTACTTTTCCTTCGTCAATCAGTTGGTATATACCCTTTTGCTATGTTGATTTAACCTGAGACTGCTATGTTGCTGTGTTGATTTAACCTGAGAAAACGTAAAAGGGACAGAAAATAGACAGGACGACGTCGTCCTGTCTATTTTCTGTCCCTTCTACGTTTTGATTCTTCTTCTCTACCCCAGTCTCAGGTTAAATCAACTTGGTTAATATTCACCAGCTCGCCTGCACCCTTACGATTTTTTCTATGACTTTTTTGCTGTTTACAAACATGAACTGCCGCTTGCGTCCCAAGCGACTTCTGGTTGCACTGTCTTCGCAAGTCTGTTGAGCTTGCTCATGTCACCGGTGCTAGAAAACATGAATGCTACACGGACAACAAAGTTGGAGATTTAACGAGGATTACATCTTGGACGAGGCAAGTTGGTTTACAAGAATACTCGAAACATTTGAAAGGATCTCGAACTCCTTTGTTCTTTTGGCATTCACGTGGAGGATTGGTGGTTAAACGTTTCATATACATTTCAAACAGCGGTGTTAAGGTGACCTTTGTTCATCCTTTTTATAAACCGGAAGTTCTCTGGGATGTAAAAGACTGGAGCACCACCTGGTGGCGTGTGCCATAAAAATGGTCTATAGTGCAGTGCGCAATCGTTGCAGGTAACAAACACCACAGCTTCGCTGACTAACCACCTTCACAGCGTGGATTGGAGCTTTTTTATGTTCACCGCTCTGACAGCAGGCATCGCTCTGAGGGCGTGCTAAGGGAATCCAGTGCTGAGGATGTCATGCGAACGTCTATACATCATCCGTAATTTGAAATCTATAGGGTATATAGTTTCGTCTGGTGACACTTGAATTTTATCGAGCTGTGCCAGCCTGCGTGAATTCAACATTCCTTCACAGGAACTGAAGCCCTTCTCCCAAAACGTGTGCTCTCTTGCACGTTGACGTCATGCATCATTTCTTTGTCGCAGCTTTCCCCTCATTTGGCGAAGACTATCTGTACCCGGACTGGGCCTTCCTGTACCCCGAGTGGGACCTTTCGGGCGACACGTTGCCAGGATGGGCGACTAGGTCCTGCTTCACCCTCGACCTCAACAGTCTCGCCGAACAAACCACCGTAAAATCATTGCTAGAACAACTAAATAAGCTATGCCTAGAATATCGCGGGAGTCTATTCAATGATTATCTTGTTGAAGCCGCCATTTTGGTACTTAGTACAGAGTTGACGCAACCGAAGATAGCTACCATTTGAAGGTGGGACTTTCTGAACATTAGGTATCATGATCCTCAGGCAGTTGCGGTTCGCTCTGTCGCTAACAGTTTTACCATTTATGAAGACCGGGAAAAGCACTTGCTGCGCTTTCAGGTGAAGCTTCAGATAACTGGCAACCATGATTTCTGGCACCAAGATGGCCGACAGGTCGTTACTCAAAAGCCGCGGCTAGTTTAGTGGCTGTAATCATTGCTATATAAGAGCGATGTGGCCGTCTTACAATCGCGACGACGCCGTATTTTCTAGCGCAAGTGGATCGGCATCAACACGCAGCTGTTCAACAAGGTCAGCAACTTACCGGTTTCCGAAGACGGACCTTTCCGTCATTCAGAACTACCCGGAACCAAGTTGTGAAGTGGTCTCAAGAAACACGTGTGCGTGATTGACAGACCAGCCTGTGATAAACGTTCTGCGATTAAATACACAATCTCTTGCTTTTTTCAAGTAGTGGTATCGTAAGTGAGGACAGGTGACGTAAAGTGGCAAGGTTTAGTAAAAAAAGAAAGAAAATGAAGGCAGCGCACAGCAGCCGTAGGATCTAGAAAGCGCCATATGTTCTTCCTGAAAAATGTGTTTCATCATATAGAGGTTCTGCGCAGTTTCAGGGGGCATATTGTATTTGTAAGAAGCATAGAGTGTGCCTTTTATCTGGTACCTTCTGGTGCTAAGAACTACAGATTGTATGGTACTTGTACAATGACGCTTCGCCTTTAAGAGTACCTGATAAGCTAGATTGGATTTTCACTGATTAGATTTCATTGTACCTGGATTGAACTTGTCCTGCCCTAAAATAAAGAAAACAAATAAAAATATCTCGTGTAAAGGTTCTGGCTGCCCTTATAACGTCTTGCACCCTGAAAACGTGTCATCACCACAGACTAGTGGATTAGCTTGCACAAGCGTGGCACACAGCCGATTAATACTTTGACTATCATTGTTGGCTTACTGGAGTGGACAAACTATAGATTTACAAATTGACTTACGAAATTTGGGTAGTATCTTATAAAAAAAAATGATTTCGTGAGAATCAAATAGGCGCACATTATTCCACGTCTGTCTCAAACTAGAAAATTTAAGTTACATGTAAAATAGAAGGGTCTTTAAAGCGCCCTGTTTCGTCCACCCCCTTCCGTCCTTGTCTATTTTTGGCGCTTTTTTATGCATCATAAACCCAACTGGCCCAAATTGCCGTTTTCATTGTGCTTAAAGGCCTGACATGATTTTTAAAAACCGTGCGAATTTTCCAAAATTTGTTTTAGTGTTACAGCATACAAAAAGCTCAGATTCATATATGCGTAACGAAGAGTATCAATATTATACTGTTGTGTTCCCTCGTTTCATTGAACTAGTAAGTAAATTTATGTTTTATTTTGCGGATAATAGCTAAAAACTTAAAGGGCAACTCCGCTTAATTTCAAAAATTTTGAGATAGTGGCCGAGTTTGCTTTTTGAAGCATTAAAAAACAATCCCCAATCCTTTGTTTCGCGAAAAATAAAATATTTTTCGTGTAATTTTACTCTAGCCATGACCACAAACCGAAACCGAAACGGTGGCAAAGCCGGACAACATTGTATATTCGGCATCACTAAGCATGTACACCCACGTGATATACAAGGGGAAGAAGGAGCTCCCCTCTTATCAGGATCCTCCTTTGTGCCTCCTGGAGTAGCACAGGCGTCGCTATTCTCCTCCCGGAAGATTATAGAAGATTAACCTGTCACTGAAAATTCTTACAAAAGCAGCTTCCCTCTCCTCCTTTTACTTGGTGTTCAAAAGTATGCGATGTAACACAAGCCGCGCTCAACGAGGCGATTGGCTTATCAGTAGTATCAATAGTCGAGCGCCGGGCCGGCCGAGCGCGTCACTCACGTCTTTCACGGCGCTGGCGCCACCCGTGCTCTCCCCGGGAAAGAAAACAAAATTAAAAAAAAAAAAAAGAAGAAGCTTTACATGTTTGATGACGTCGCGGACGTGCCGGGAGGAGGAATTTGGAGGAAGCGGAAATGCAGCCGGGCAGTGTTGTCTGGCCCGCACGTCTCATCCAAAACCAGCGGATTCGTTCTTGTCAAACTTTGACAGCGATTTTAATGAACTTCTAGGCGGAATCCCGTCGTAATATTTGCCATGGGGGTTTCGTAGATGATAACAAAGAGAACTGTATAGTTTTGCACAACTGGAAAAGAAGCGGAGTTGAACTTTAAGGGCACATATATCTCATAAGTTTTTGATCAAGACGAAATAAACAAAAAGTGGTTTGCAAAATAAAGTTTTGTTTTTCTTTTTGCAATATAATGCATTAAAAAAATGGCACACGTATGAACACGACACTGCAAACTTTCTGGATTTTCACTTACTTTACAAGCTCACACGTTTAAAAATAATACGAGTCATTTCATCTCAAACTTGGTATTGCACCAATACCCTGTCTAAATAAAACAAAAACAAAAAAACTGAAATAAAAAAAAAAGAAAACACCGATACAGACAATGGCATGCGCCGTGAAAATGATGTATACTTACACAATGTAAAAATAGTAGTGTACAATACAGAACGGCGTCGTGTTGCTGAAACCTGCACAATGCCACAGTTAAGTCAGCAACCCCGGCAGCCTATAGTGCTGCGATAGTAGAAACCTGCAATTCAAGTAAAGGGCCGAAACCCCTCATCCTAGACAGAGCAAAAATACAGAGGCACTGGTTGTACACCCAATTTGTTATAAGTGAATGGAGAAACATCGGAAGCACCACGAGGTTCTTCTACTTTCCACGGTGCATAGGCACATTCAAATATGAGTTTACGTAAAAACGCTAGATCTGTTTTATAACAAATCGTTCTCGAGATGAATATTTCGGAGCTTTCCTTCTACTTCAGGAGCAAGCTCAAAATCTGAGGTACTGTGGATGCGGGCTAATTATTGAGGGAATTGCGCCTAAGAGAAATGAAAATAAGCGTTTGCAATATCGCCTGTTTCTTTAATTCAGTGGTGAAGAAACCTTGCAAAATTACTTTAAAAATTAAAATTGAGTTTGTGAAGGATTGTCTAATACAAGTAATTTACCCAATAGAAAAAGAAAGTTAAGAATTACTTAAGGCGTTTGTTTTCCCCAGTTTCTCAATAATATTTAATAATGCGTGTCACATATTTGAAAACTAAGGAGACGTAACTATCTTCAGCATAACTCTTGGTCTAAACTTCGCTCTAGTTTGGCGAGAAAAACGTCAATAGTACAGACCGTGTCGTTTTATGAAATGTGTTGTTGGAGCCATCTGAACTGCAGCTAATGCTAAGTATGGCAAAAACAAAAAAACGGAACCAAGTTTTACAGGTATACCGTACTCCTATTCACTGAAAGTTAGAAATTCCTTTTCCCCTCGGTTGTAATGGTTTTGTGATATTAAATTTTCTTATAAGCGAAAAAAGTAATATCATTGGTGTGTCACTGCAATCGGCACATCGCAGATAAGTTATAAAATCCCAAACAAAATAAACATTAAAAAAACGACGCTTTACAAGAAATACTTTTTGATACGTACCTCACTCAAATTCAAAGTTCTTTGAAAAAGAAAAAAAGAAGACAAACTTCACGACGCGTCACCGGGCCGCAGCAATGACGTGCGAGGCACACCTTGGCACGGTTTCATCGTAAAGAGTAAGAAGTGTCTCTTTCTTTTTGGCAGTTTTCGGCTGCGCACTTGGTCGTGTCCGCTCAAGTTGAACAAGACAAGCACACACACACGCGCACACACAAAAGTGAATCATAATGAAACACACTCAAACACGATGCAAGTTCACAATAAAGCTACGCTTTGAGTATCGGCACTTTAATCCCCGGTCAATTTATGGGTTCCGCCAATTGGGTGCTTAGTGAAGAGCGAGCGCAATTCGCGACGGTTATCCATTTGAAGACTTATTTTCTTGAGGTTTCTGTACACCAACTCACGTTTTAGAAAGAAGTTAGGGTTTGCCCACACCAGGTGTGGGCAGTGCGCTTGCGCAGAAACCAGATTCGCGAGAGCTGACGCATCTGCGCATGCGCAGTGCCGACAGCAGCGCCACCGTAGTGTTGTGATGTCAGACACTTGGGTTGGTCTATGCGGTGTCAGTAATCTCAGGCGATGATGTTTATCGCTTTGTCATGGACTGTTTTAGTACTTCTGAAGGACGAAAACCCGTTTTCTGCGATTTCTGATAGATATAGCTTTTAGATAACTGGCAACAATGACTTTAAGCGCCAACAGTTGAAGAACTCTGCTGTACTCTATTTCACCTTATGATGTACCGCAGGAAAGGCTACAAGCGCGAGCTCCTTGCCCTATAGGGTATATCTCGGCAGCACAAGCTCTCGTGCATAAAGGCAGCTATACTTCGTTTCAGCTTCGGTCCAGACGCAGCCGATGCTACAAGCGCGAGCATGTGACCCAGAACAGTGCTTGCACTGCACGAGCGCGCGTGCTTGGCAGGGATGCTGAAAGCCCGCAGCTCGCGCTTCTAGCTTTGGTTGCATCTGGACCGAAGCTGAAACGAAGTATATAACAATATGAGCTCGCGCTTCTAGTTTTCGCTGCGGTACAGCATAAGGTGAAACGGGGTATAGTCTTTGCTGGGCACATGGCGGACCCAGCCGAGTTAGCTTTCGGTAGGCCCTCACCGGAACTTCCGGCGAGCGTCCCCCCGTTTCAAAGGGTCGTCATTAAATCCAAATCCAAATCCAAATGGGTGAAGTGCCGTTACTGTGAAGCGTAGCTTCCGTGGTGATTCTAGTTCACACCTCTGTGCCAGCGAACTCTGTGTTGGGCATGTAGCCGGACGCGTGGACGTGGCTCTTCCCGCCTGCGCAACACACGGTCACCACCCGGTTGCCAGACGTTGCCGACGACAGACTGGCCGAGCTCCTTCGTCTCCGACAGATGACATAAGCTGCGATCGTTCCCGTGACGAGTGCGCCGACCAGGACCAGAGGGACGACCAGGAGAACAGGCCACGTCGCCGGGGACTCTGCGTTGGAACCCATCTCGTAGGTTCCCGTCTGTTTTAGGGCACTGGAAAGCACGATCTGGTGCATGTTGGTTCCGCGACCGTTCTTGCCGATGCTCTCGGCGTCGGCGAGCATGGAACGCTTGGAGATGACATGGTCCAGGGTGTCCGAGGAGCTGACGTGTCGCTTGCCAAAGCGCCTGTTGCCGCCTTCCTTGCCTCGGAGAGTGTAGATGCAGTGGATGAACCATAGCGTACCGGAGGCGACCTGTAGGGGAATCGATGACCGAATCTGTTAATGCTCCGCAGCCCGGAGCACGTGGAGCGAAAGCTGACTGTGGAACCCAGAGATCCAGGGTTCAATCCCCATTTCTGCGCGGTTCGACCTAGGTGAGCATCGCACACCGGCGTGCGGTCTTGTATCACTACTGCGTGGTGCACGGCCCTGGATTAGCAGTCGTATTACCTTGGCTTAATTTTGCATCTACAGCAAAGGCTGGGCGTCGATTAAAAGTTGTAACCGAATTAATCGCCACCCTTTAATCGATTCATCGGTGTCATTTGTTTCTGTGCACAATATTAAAAAGGTCAAATTAATCCTTTCTTTTTTGCCTTTACTGAATATGGGATAAACGGCGCAATATTCAACTTGGATTATGAATAAATCTCGCCCCTGCAGTTTACTTTATTCACCTATTTAACCTAAAGTTTGCCCTTCGTACAGGTATGCCCTCCACGTCTGCGTGGTGAAAGTGTTTAATTTTTACATTCCTTTGGTTCGTCAAAATTCCAACGATTAACTGGTTAATAAATTTAATTCTGCTTGAAGCATTAATCGATGAATCGGTAGTTTAATCGATCAATTGCCCAGCCCTAGCAGAGACACCAGACGTCTATGGGGGCTGACTGATTTTCCTGTCTCTAGGCCAAACACGTACGCAATGCGTTACTAGTAACAGATTACTTCTACCTAGTTACCTTTTTCGGTAACGATAAACGTATTTAGTTATTTTTTAAGAAAATGAACGAGTCACGCACTTACTTGTAAGGTCAACTAACGAGTAAATACGGTATTTCGTTACTTTTGAGGGTTAATGTGTAAAACAACATTTAAACAGCCTCGTTTTAAAGCTAGCCTGAGTAAGCGTTTCTTGCGTCAAAGGCAGACGGGCAACCCAAACAGTATATCCAAGCAGCACAGAGTTGGCCAAGCATTGGCCAACGGCTGGCAATGGTCTTTTGGCCGGTGGCCAGACAGTGGCTAGCCATCGGCCGATGACTGGCCTTTCTCTGGCCATTGGCCAATGGCCAATGGCCAATGGCCACTGGCCATCAGCCATCGGCCAAGCGTTGGCCAATGAATGGCCACTCTTTGGCCACTGGCCACAAGACCATCCCCAGCCACTGGCCATTCTTGGCCAAAATCCGTGCTGCTTGGATATATGTCAGTATAGCAACGTTTATCGCTGAACACGTCAGTCGAAATCTACAGATGGAAATGTCCTTCACCCGGAGAAAACAATAAGGTTCGGTAGTTGAACGTTCTAGAATCGTGTGCAGACAAAATGTAAAGTCGGAGGTTGCCAACGCGGGGAGGCACAGAACCCATCGTCAACTTGGAACTTCAGAAACAGAGAAAACAAAAGAGAGAGGGGTATCCCAGATTCACCAGCTCTTTCCGAAGCAAAACGTTGCCGTTCCTGCGAACGCGTCAGTATAGGACGGCTCTTTCGCGTCGCCGGAGATGTATTCTCAATGAAGCGGGGAAACATAACTGATGAAAACTTCGAGGGAAAGCTACTGCTGAAGTGCAAAGACTGCTGAAATGAAAACAATAAACCAAAAAAACAAAAGCAGTTGTGTATTTCGTCGTCAAAGTAACGAGAAGATTAAGTCGTTACTTTTGATGTCACGCATTGCGTACCTTTTGAGAATCGGTAAGGAGTAAAGTGTTTAGTTACTTTATGAGCGAGTAACGAGTAACGTCTTTTAGTTACATTTCGGGGGTAACGTGTAGATGTCTGGTCTAGGCATACACACAACGTAATGAAGAGTTCTTGAATAGGGGACCCAATGTTTGGAGTCCCCCAAACTGCTTGGGAGACTCGAAGCGTTAGGGAACCCTGTTCTAGAAGCAACCTACAATCCAAACAGATCAGGATTAACGTAGCATCCAACGTGCAGCTATATGATAGTTTCAAGAGCTTTGTGATATTGTTGAAAGAGAGGTTTAAGTCATACTACAAGAAGCACAGCCGCCGTTAGATTAGTTCCAAGGTATAGAATATAATTAACGCTAATTTTAGCGAGAAGGGTTATCTGGATGACTCCTGGAAAGTAAGGATCGATAGTGCTCTTAGTATCTGTAATCGTAAACAATCACTTATATATATAATACTGGGCAACAAAGTAGTAAACTATTTATGCCATTTCCTATGACTGTAATATATTATAATATCGACGTCATTAGTAGCAATGCATGTGCGCACGAGACTGAGCGCTACCTACGGTGCTCCCAGTCACGAAATGTCTCATTAGACCTTTTTCTAAATTAATTACCCCAGCACCAAGGAGCGTGCGCGATAGTAGTTCCATGCGCTGCGCGTCCTGGCGTCTGCAACTGTACTACCTGTTCTGAAGCAGAAACCCAAAACTCATGGCACCTTTCACGCGCGTTCATATCGCGATTCCAGCGACCTATAGGGGACGCTACTGTCGGGCAAAGATGGCGGCCTAAAACAGATTGTGCCGTGTCATGCGCCAGACCAACGCACTACGCTAGGGCACCATCAAGCTGGTATTGAACTCAGTGTGGATGGCTTGCTCCGCGTTTTATCCTCCACGTTTCGAACCTGCGGATATGTGCTGGCGTAAGCGATCTACCAAAGGCTTGACTTTCTTCGAGGAAGCGATGAAAGGACTGCCTACTGCCTTTTCACGGTGCTGATGAACTCTAATAAACGCCGAACGCCTGATTCACGCGGTTGCGTACGTTGCGTGCAGAGTAACCTGCAAGGAACAAGCTGGTACTACAGTTACGACAGGGTCACTGAAACACCTGTTCTATAACGCAAATTACCGGCAACATATAATCACGGACAGGCACGTAGCTAGGATTCTGTTTCGGGGGAGGGGGGAGGGGGGGGGGGGGGGGGGGGCGAGCGAGCGAGAAGAGGCCTCAGCAAAATGGAAGATTTCGGAAAGGGGGGGGGGGGGGGGAGCCCGGGCCGCCCCTTTCCCCCTGGCTACTGCCTGATCACGGAAGCCACAAGAGACGAGCAGAAATCGCGAAAGGACCTATACTGGCCAGTTCAGTGTTTTCCCGCTAGGTGGCGTCCGTCGTGCTGGAGTCGCGAATTTCGGTTATTAACTTCGAATCTTTTATACAAATAAGGGGAGTGCGAGCAGCGCGAGTGCCTACTTTCAAAGCATTCTACTTGATACTCGGGTAATTAAAAAAAAAGAAAAGATACTTGGTTTGAAAGCGACGTGAATAGAACGTTTCTCACTTTGAACAAGGGATCAGACAAGAAATAGAACCCGTCGGCTCCCGGATCGCTTTTGATCTGCACGAGGTCGTCGTCCACGCTGTCGGACACCAGCGTGGCGTTGAAATGCGCCTCATGAAGGTGAGGGGCTATGGTGTTCGGAGCTTCCTTGTCCTGAAAAAACAACAACAAAAAAGTATAAATTGAAAATCTGGCTTCGGACGTTATCTGACTAGAACTAAGCTGCTTCTTTCCTCTTCCTCACTATCGCAAAATAAAACTACTCTAAACAATCGAATGACTTAATCAGCAGTGGAGTCTGGCAGCATCGACGATGGTGAAGCATGGTTGACGTTTGCGAAAAACAGCTCACAGTGGAACATGGGGCATCTGGTGCAGTCCAAATAATTACGATTGATGCACTGATGCAGTGCGTTCACTACGTCACTGTACCGAGATATTTAATTGCTTAATTATTTCGAGTCCAATAGAGTTCCTAATGATTCCACGAAACCTTCCAAAAGAATCCAGAGCTTGATGAAACAGTACATTATTGTGTAAATATATCGCGCTTGAATACCAATTATTCGCAGTTGCCCATATGTAGCAGATCTGTAAATTACTCATTAGTGATTACTTTTATAAAAATGATAGAATTCCCCAGACGACAAGTTTTTCAATTCCATAATACAATATAATCCTGGGGGGGCGACTTCGATATAAACATGCTACTAGAAACTGCGGATAAAAGACAGATGGATATGCTAATTAAAGCAGGCGGATGTATGAACACAATATCTTTGGCTACTAGGGTCACTAATGAATCTTCCACACTGCTTAATTTGTTCATTACCAGCTTTGCACCATCACAAACTAAATCTGGCGTAGTAATCACTGACATAAGCGACCACTTAGGTATATTTTTGTGTGTGAAGATAAACATAAATAAAAGACAGAATAAACCGGCGGTAGTAAAGTTTCAGAATATAACGTCAGATAGCCTGGATGACTTTAGACGAAAACTTTCTTCTATGGACTGGAGTGACGTCCTTCATGAAACAGATCCAGATAAAGCGTACAATATGTTCTTGATTCGATTTCAAAAACTTTATGTAAGCTGTTTTCCATATAAATCAATAAGTCCTTCTAGAAAAATTTGTAAACCATGGGTTACAAAGGAATTACTTGAAAAAATTCGTATAAAAAACGCGCTATATCAAAAATTTGTGAAAACAAAGGAGATAGAAACTCTTTCAATTTTCAAACGTTATCGCAACCAGTTAAACAGAGAACTTCGAAACGCTCGAGGAACATATTTTGTTCATTTCTTTTCGACATGTGGTAATAGAACTGATATTTTGTGGAAAAAACTAAACTCCGTCCTGAATCGTACATGTACCCCGAAACAAGTAGAAACGATAAAATGGAATGGTGAGGAAGTGACAGGAAAAGCATTAGCGAATGTATTCAATGATTATTTCGTGAGTTTAGTCAAAGACACCCCAGACTCAGATGCTTGCAAGTTTATATATTTTCGAAATTGTGCATCCATGTTTCTTAGTCCCGTTACTGATTTAGAGGTAATATCTGTCTCCCGTGCATTAAAAAACAGTAAAAGTTGTGACGCCGACGGTTTACCGATAAAGCCTGTAAAGTATGCGATAGATATTATTTCCCCTTGTCTGACTCATATATTCAACCCCTCCTTGCAAAATGGCGTGTTCCCCAAGCGAATGCAACTGGCAAAAGTAACGGTTTTATATAAAAAAGGTAATAAAGATGAACTAGGTAATTATAGACCGGTTTCAATTTTGCCAGTGTTTTCGAAAGGCTTAGAAAAAATTTTACTACTACAAATGACTTCATTTGCAGATAATCATAATGTAGTAAGTTCATCTCTTTTGGCTTCCGCAGACAACGGTCCACTGAGCTTGCTCTTCTTGCACAGAAAGAATATATCCTTAAGAACTTTGAAAATAAAAAAACTAACTCTCGGTGTATTCATTGACTTTACGAAAGCCTTTGACTATCCTGATCATGATTTGCTATTTAAAAAATTAGAAATGTATGGCTTCCGTGGTCAACTGTTACTACTTACAAGTTCATATTTGTCTTCCCGTCAGCAATACGTACTATCGGGGAAAAATGAAATGCGAACAGAGGAGCGCGTGGCTCGCGGTACAGGCTGCGCCGCCTGGAAGTGAACCTAGGGGCGAGGGTGCGTGGCCTACTTCGATGTGTTCACCCCCCTCGATTGGCGCTTCCCCAGCTTCGCCAGTGCGCCGCTCAGTGCGCTGAAAGCTGTCACCGCTATCTTTGCGTGCTCGGTGAGTGCGGCGAGCTTCTTTGCACCGCACGCGCTGAGCCAGCAAAGATAGCGGTGATAGCTTTCAGCGCACTAAGAGGCGCACTGCTGAAGCTTGGGGAGCGCAGAGGGAGGGGCGTGAACACGTCGGAGTAGGCCACGCACCCTCGCTCCTTGGCTCACTTTCAGGCGGCGCAGCCTGTACCGCGAGCCACGCGCTCCTCTGTTCGCGTTTCATTTTTCCCCGATAGTACATATTAATGGTCATTCATCATCAATAAAATCTATTCGGTCAGGCGTTCCCCAGGGAAGCATCTTGGGCCCTTTTTTATTCAACCTTTACGTAAATGACATTGTAAATATCAGCCGATCAACGAAGTTTATCATTTATGCTGACGACACTAGTTTATTTTTTACTGGTGATACCGCCTCAGATCTCATAGATACCGCGAATGATACGCTAGAAAAACTAGCGAAATGGAGAAAATGTAACGCTTTAAAAATAAACATAAATAAGACTAAGGCAGTTCTATTTCGCCCAAAGAATAAACAAGTTGACATAAACAAGACCATATGTTTAAACTCTTCTAGAATTGAGTTAGTCGCTTCTTTTAAAACATTGGGTATTTTTTTCTCAGAGACAATGTCATGGGATGATCACGTTAACTACATTATACCCAAATTGTCCAGCATTGTTGGCTTGATATATCGTAATAAACACATATTTCCCCTTAAGGTAAAGTTGTTAATATATAATTCATTATTTTATTCCCATATAAACTATGGTCATCTAGTATGGGGCACAACTACTTTTACTAACTGTAAAAAAATATTCATTTTGCAAAAAAAGATTTTAAGAAGTATTTGCAAAGTCCCACTCGAACGTCCAATGGATTCACTTTTTACTCAACTGGGTGTAATTAAAATTTTTGATTTGTATAGATATCGCCTTTGCGCAAAATATATGATTGAAAAAAACATGCATGTACTGTACATCATCTTGAATATTTAGCGAATCTAACACAAAAAGTACACTCGTACCAAACCCGCATTCTGCAGCCCTGGCAAGTGCCTCTTTTTAGAACAAATTATGGCCATTATACTATAGCATACACACTACCGACCATCCTTAACCACCTTTATATGCACAACATAGAACTTGACACGTTATCGGTGGGTACCTTACGGGACATGATACTCTCTGGGCAAATCGGCCACGATTGAACGGTGCCTTTGTGTGTATTTTCTGAGTATTTTTATTTTTTTTTGTAAAGGGGAATGTGCTTGTGTTTTGCGTATTGTACAATTAATTAACGTAGACTATTTTTCTGGTTTTTCCTTGAACGATGTGGGGCAGTGCTATTTTTTGTCTACTCTTAAATATTGTATTTTTTGTTATAGTGCCTTGAACGATGAGCAAGTGACGTTATGCTATAGTGCCTGCTTATTTTCTTTAGTTTCATATATCTCATTGCCAACTGTTTAATCTCTTTTTTGTTTAGTGTTCTCAGTGTATTTCTTTTTTTTTCCGTGCACGCTGCTCGTAGCTGCTGCTTTAGGGGGGCTTAGGACTAGTCAAGCTGTACACACAGCTTTTTTCCAAAGCCCCCACCAACAGTGTACCCTTCTTGTTGGAAAATAAACCTATTATTATTATTATATATGTCCGTTGAATTTAAACACCTGCATTACAAGTATAATGCGAATTCAGCTTAAGGAGCTGCTAGTCAATGGATGACGAATACTAACAATAATGTGGTTAACTTTAAAATCAGGACTACTTTTTATTATTGTTTATTTGTTCCGTCACGTTCTCATATACAGAGCAAGTCGCATTGAAAGTATGTACATGAGCTATTTTTCACAAAAGCGCATAAAATAGCTCGTTTTGGTCAGCAAACTCGCTCAGACACGAACTTAAAAGGGCATATGTCCTCGCCCATTTCGTGTTCGCATTGTTCGGGAATTCTAAGCATCGGTGTATTAACCTACTCCCTCAGCTTGAAATCCCACAATAAACATGATTTCAGACGTGCGGCTTCCAACAGCTGTGTCTAAGCGCCAGCAAGACACCGTGGCACTTACGATGATCTTGATGACGTAACGAAGATTCTCAGAGTCCGCGATGCAGCCGTAGTCCCCGTTCTCCGGGTCGTAGCGGGGAATGTAGCCGTCCACTCCCGTGCACAAGAAACACTTCTCGATGAACAGCGTGAACGAGTGTCCGAGGCTCTGAAGCGGGCTGATCATGATCTTCCCGTAGATCTTGTCTCCCCTGACGAAAGACACGTCCACGTCGTCGGACAGGTTCGCGGACTCTTCGGACAGCCAGAGGTCTCGTCTCCTCGTGATGTGGAACTGGGTGTCGAGCGAGAACTGCGTGGGGACCGGGTCGCTGACTTGCTGGAAGTGGATGGGCAGTTCGAAAGGCACCGGGTCCTGGGGATTGCAGCGCGGGGGATCGGAGTAGTCGGCACCTTCCCGAACGGTGCACGGTACCAGGTTGATCTTGTAGGTGCCGGAGTAGTCTTTCACCTAAGGGTAAAGGCCACTCACCGATGTTACCATTGATCTCATGAATGACAGTGATTCGATCGGGTCGTATGAAAGGGTTTTCCTACTACATTGCCATGCTCCGTTTTACTTTAACCGCTGCCATATACGTCCCGACTGCGCAAATCGAGCAGCATCAAAAGCGCACCGCCACGCGCTCTTTGTTTTTCTGCATTTTCTATCGACGGCTAAACCAATAATGCACAAAAAAAAGAAAAAAAAAAAAAGCACGGGATCGTGGCGCATTCACTGTGCGTGATTGGTTGAGTCGATGACACGGTGGAAGAAATACATTTAGGTGATGACTCTGGCCGCTTTTCCCGCGGGGAGCGACCGACCAGATCGTCTTTGGAGCTAGCCTCGAACCAGGAGTAGTTAGTTCCGCGCCGCCGCGGAGGGCGCTGAGGTATGTGGTCCCTCCTCGGCGGTCACGGTATCGGCGGCGTAACGTGCTCGCCTTTTTCGCGGTATGGTGGTGGTGTGCGGCCAGTGGCCGGCTTCGTGTTTTGCTTTGGTGCTGTGTCGATCACAGGAGCCACCATACTGTACGAAGGTGAGCCTTAACCCGAAGAAGAAGAAGAAGGAAGAGAACACAGATTTACAGACTCGGGCGACTTGGTGGCGGCGTGGCGGCGATGAGGTGCAACAAGAAGCGGTGAGCGAGGGAATGCGGGACCACCGCGGGGAGCAACAGCCGGAGCGGTCGGTTCGGGAGGGATTCCATACTTGGGCGCCGTCTATCCCCGTGCGAGTGAAGCGCGCTCGGTGCGCCGAATATAATGTTGCCGCTGCGTGAGACAGAGAGCCATCACCTAAATGTGTTTCTTCCACTGTGGGTACAACAAGAAGGGGTGAGCGAGGAAATGCGGGACCACCGCTGGGAGAAACAACCGGAGCGGTCAGTTTGGGAGTGACCCCAGAGCCGTTTATACTGAGAGAGTTTGGCCGATGGGCGGAGCTTGTTGGCCGCTAGAACCAGCGGATTTCGCGATAACACAATATGGCGTTACTTCTTTGTCTTGTTCATTCCTTTGAAATCGCGTAGAGTTCCTATGAGGCAGATCCACAATATGGCGGACGGAAGTAGTCATCCCCCGGTTGTCAGACTACGCTGCTGTGGTTGTCAGACTGCCAAAATCTCCTTAAGAAGGCCAAACTCTCTCAGTATAAACGGCTCTGAGTGACCCGATACTTGGGCGCCATCTATCCCCGTGCGAGTGAAGCGCTCGGTGCACCGAACATTATGTGGTCGCCACGTCGGACAGCGAGTCATCACCTAAACGTATTTCTTCCACCGTCGTCGATAACAGCGAACCCAGACGAATGGATGGATGAATGGATGTTAATGGCTATACCCTTTGTAACGGGTGGTAGCTTGCGCCACCTGGCCTAAAGACAAAACGAGCGCAGTAACGACGCGATTTTGGTGCTGCTTGGGTAGCTTCATAGGATCGTAACTTCGGCTAGCGGGCTACAACTAGCGCTTCGAACGAACACTGCATTCATAACGCATAAAGGAGGAATTCATTTCTGCTTACATGCGCTGGCTTTTAGGAAAAAAAAAAATGAAAGCCGTTTACAACTCCCTGTAACACCGAATTAGAGCGCAGCTCTTGAAGAGGAGGAGGGAAGGGTACTGAGGGGAGGGTATACCCCTCCTCCCTCCTCTTCCTTCGTGATCCTGCCTGCTACTTGTCCTCCCCTCCCCTCCCCGAGGAAATTTTTCCGCTAGATTAACGGGGAAATGTTTTTGCTAGATTTAGCGGGGAAACGTTTCCGCTAGATTTAGCGGGAAAATTTTTCCGCTAGTATTAGCGGGGAAATTGTTTCGCTAGATTTAGCGGGGAAAATTACCCATAATGCACCGCGCGGTTACGCCGACGGCGACGCCGCTCAAGCCGGAAACGGGCGCCTAAGAGCTGCGCTCTAAAGGGCTGTTTACACTCCGACGTTGAGCGCAGTGAACGCAGCATAGCACAAAACGCACGCCTTTCATTGGCCGGCGGCCAGGAACTCGATTTCTGCGGCCAATTAGTATCTGTGTGCGCTGCTCTACGACGCGCCTGTCGACGTTACGTTGTAGTATAAACGTACCTTAAAAGCACATCTGCGAGGCTCACATTCGTTATCTTTCTGAGCTAACTGAACCAACCATCTTTCTACCAGACGACCAAGTCCTGAAACCAAACAAATGTGTGATAGTAAAAAAAAAAAAAAATAATAATAAACAGACATACGCCCGGAATTCAGTTTTTTTTTCTTCTTGCCGCCAAGTGCCAATATTAGTTAGACTAAGAATAAAGCTTATGCAGTCGATTTGAGATGTTATCGAGCGACGATGGGCTGTGCGTTTGTATTGAACACGAGTGTTTCATCGGAGTTCTGTTGGTAGGAAGACAACGTTATTAGGCAGGCGAGCTGGCTGTTAATTGACAAACTGAAACCTGAGATGGAGGCAAAAATGAGAAAGTACAACGTCCTTATTTTTGCCTCCGTCTCGGGTTTTAGTATCACTGAAATAAGGGTTATTGCACAGGCGAGTTGGTAAGCGTGTTTCACATGCAGCGATTTTGACCCTAAAGGCCGGTTCACACATACAGCGGAGCGCTAAGTTAGCGCTACGTGAGCGCTCCAAGGAGCGCTCATGTGGCGCTTCCTAGCGCGTCATGTAGCGCTCTGTTAGCGCTACAGAAGAGCTCTGTTAGCGCTACAGAAGCGCTTTGTTAGCGCTCTTACGCATCTTCAGAAGCGCTTTGCTAGCGCTCTGTTAGCGCTACAGAAGAGCTCTGTTAGCGCTACAGAAGCGCTTTGTTAGCGCTCTTACGCTCCTTGTGCCATGCTTGCTGCTGCGGAACAGCGCGTGCACGGCGATTCCTTGGTTGTTTTTCTTTTGGCATTGAAAGAAGAGGAAGTAAAACAGCCGCTCTCCAAGCAAAGGGTCGGGCAGGCGATCCAGAGTCATGGACTCTGAGCGACTAATTGGTTGGGTACGACCTCATCGCTTTCTATTTGATATGCGTGACCCTGGTTTCAAAGACACGCAGTTAAAAATAATCGACTTCGAAAGAGCTCTGCGTCTCGGTCCCTCAGCCTGGGAACAAGATTCGCCGGGTACCCGTCGGTATCTCGATGGTGAAAGCTTTCGCGCACCCAGAAGACTCTTCTGGCCGTTAAGCCGTCCACACACATATGCACTAATCACGTATCTAAGAGCATTTGTCGCATTTCTATTTCAACATCCCACATGTCCACCATGGTGCTGCTGATGCAAACCCAACCACAGGAACCGGTACCACAGTGCACGTGCTAATCCGCAGCACCGCGGTACAAGAAGCGCTACTGAAGCGCTAACAAGGAGCTACTGGAGCGCTAACAAAGCGCTACTGGAGCGCTAACAAAGCGCTACTGGAGCGCTAACAAGGCGCTACTGGAGCGCTAACAAGGCGATACAGAAGCGCTAATCGCGCGCTATGTTAGAACTAAGTCACGCGCTAGGAAGCGCCACATTAGCGCTCCTTGGAGCGCTCACGCAGCGCTAACTTAGCGCTCCGCTGTATGTGTGAACAGGCCTTAAAGGCCGGTTCTCACATGCAGCGAAGCGCTGATGTAGCGCTCCTCACGTGCCGTCAGCTACTTATCGTCTGCCATGAGCAACAGTTTTGACGGTGCGATACAAAGCTGGTGAACGCTCCCATCAGCACGCGCTTAGCGCGAGGTCATCGCTATGCTTGTAGCGCTCCGCTGCATGTGTGAACAGGCCTTAAAGCGGCGCGATTTCTGCCGTCGTGGCGCTCGTGCCGCTCAACCGTTGATGCTGGCCAGAGCGCCGCGACGGCAAAAATCGCGCCGCTCTAGGGCCAAAACCGCTGCATGTGAACTAGGCTGTAAACGATCATAGCGAAAAAAAAAAAAAAAACCAATAGGGACAGCACAATAGGGACATAGGGAGAACAGAATAGGGACATAGAGACAATAGGGTCAACACAGTGTTCTGTTTTCGTTATTTTTGTCACTAGTATCAAGGTTTTCTTTTCAATGTGAGCTTTCAGTGTATGACGGCTCTGTTTGTACTTGGTTCGGATCATTGAGAGTGTGGACGCTACGGTCACTAAGAACTTAAGAAACGTAGGGCGTGGCCTATCATGGTCACGATCCTCGCTTCGTGATTGGTCCTTCGAAGTTCTGAGTGGCTGATGCCGCAATCTGATTGGCTGTGGAGCGGTAATAAGATGCGCTGGACTCACCACGAATTGCGATTCTTAGCTGCTCGTGACTATGCGGAGCGCAAGTTCGTCTGCTTCTCGCGCCGGGGTTGTGGTGACGCCAGAACGCCAAGCTCCGATTGGCTCCCATTGAAAGGATAATGGGTAGACCTCAAAGCAAGCTGCCTTGAGATCTACCCACTATCCTTCCAATCGGAGCCAATCAGAGCTCCGCGTCTTTCTGACGTCACCACAACCCCGGCGCGAGAAGCAGACGAACTTGCGCTCCGCATTAGCGACGTGTGTGACCAAAAGCGTCGCTGTGGTCGGTCTTCCGCGATTGGTCAAACACTCACCATGACGTCATGAGTATGCATCCTACTTCCATTAATGGGAATCAGACAAATGCCGGAGTGTCGGCTTTGACGGTATTGGTTTTTAAGGAGCGATAGCTGCGAGCTTGTTACCCCGTGCTTTTTGCACGCACCACCGAAATCGTCGTTGGCAATCTACAATTCCGGTCGTGACGTCACAGCTGGGAACCATAAGAGGGAGCCAGCGAAACATCTCGTCGCCAATAGACTTCGGGCTCGCTGCCAATTACTACGTTGGCGTCATGTCGCCGTGTTTAAGCGCTTTATGAAAGGGTCAAGTTCGGTGTACGGAGGTTAATATCCCCATTCACACGTTCATAAACGTCGCTCTAGCTAAAGGACCTTTATGGTGAGCAACAAACCAGTTCGCGATTTTCCGCGCGTGACATGTGCTCGCGACACAAGAGCAAGGGCCGATTCGCCGATTGGGACCTACGTTAAAGTTACCTTTATGCTGGTCGGGTGAATGGGGCATTATATTAACTAAAACCAAGTGCAGTACTGTATCTTGGTGGCTCTTGGAAACGAAGGAACAAGTATTGGGCGGAGAGCTTAATAAAACACTTAGAAGCACTGTACAAGTTATATCATTATTTACTAATGAAAATTCCTCTAATGGGGCAACTATAAATGTGTCCTTTTGTGATATAGAAAACAAATGTTCAAGCACAAGCCTGCCAAGGTGAATTTGAGCTGTAAGGCTACAGTCCTCAGAAGCTCTGAATTGTGAAAAAGTATGTTGTTTTATACGCTCAATTAGCATTAAAATGACCAAAAGGCCTAAATTTTAAACAAAGTTAGCCAGTGGTGCAGTAGCGAAAGAGTTCCGCAGCTTATTTGAGGCCTATTGCCACCTTCATTCGAAACTAATTAAAGTGACACATTTAATACGGCTGCGAATGACTTACCGCAACGTCGGACGTTAGCTCCCATTCTTGCTGCGCCTCATTGAACGTCTTGTCGCTACGAATCAGCCTTAGAGTGAATGTGAGATCTGGTTGCTCTTCCGACGTGACGTAAGACGTTTTTTTGAGTCCTAGAGAAAGACATAAGCCAAGTTACTAACGTTTACGCGACGCCCATGAACGACAACGCATATTTTCTGCAGTCCAGCCTTGGCGCATTTTTCGGTTTGCACGTCCGCTTGTTAGGACACTGAATCGCACCTCTACTCTCCAGGATGTACTGGCCGTGAAAGCCGGATACGGTCCGAAATCGGACCACCAGTTGACCTTGGTCGTTGATTCGCATCCCGGTCGGGTAGATGCTGCCTGCGTAACAGAACGAAACAAAACAAAACATACTTACGGTCTGAGCGTGGAGATATAATGCTGGTTTGCGTCATGACGTTTGATTCTCCGCTTTGCTCCGTAGCGCGTAAAAGCACCTCCCGCTAAAGCTGCTAGCTTTGACCCCTTGCACCGCTGCCATTTTGGATCAAGCTATTTGTTTATATTTCTTCTGTGAGCGCGCGTTTCTAGCATCGGGGACTAGAAAAAAAGTAGCATCACCCTAAAGATAATTAATGCGGAGCTATGCCGACTCGTTACACATGCCCTGAGAATATCCGGCTTGTCTTTACAGCGTGAAGACAAGTCCCAAGTTTGTTGTAACTCGGGTATTTTCTTAATGTTTTCCTCCTGTGAGCAATTGACATTTAAAAACCGCCTTTAGACCTGTGTTCGGTGCTCATGGTTTCTCAGTTGTTTGTGTGTGACTACCATTAACACATGTATTAATTGGAATCCAACAAGAAAGAAGACGACAAAGAAGAAGACATTAAGGAAGAAGACTTAGTTCGTGTGTTCGAAGTTTTCTTGGAGTAGTGAATGTGCCTGCTGTTGAGTGTGTACAATTAAAGTAAAAGTAGACAAGAGAGAGAGAGAGAGAGAGACCGCTGTGGAAATAAATGACAGCTGCATGCTCTGCTGGTTTTTAGACGGTAGTGTGTATATCTATTTTGCGTCCTTGTTTGGAGGTTTTTAATTCCTAATTATGAAGGGGTACATTCTTCAGGACTGAAGCATTCATGAGTTTTCTCATGGATCAAGAAACACTGAGGTTCTTCAGGGTTTCACTAGAAATTCTGAAGTTGTGTTCTAAATTTTCGAAAGCGGCAACAAACAGAAGGAGTGAACACGCCGTTTTTACCATTGAGGTGCGAGTCGACATGAGTGGAAATGCCATGGTCCCAGAGTATGGCCGTGTTGTAGACGAAACTGATCTTGAGTTCTGTCACCATGTCGCTGTGCTGCCATCCACCCATGGCGGCAGTCGAGTGCAGGATGTAGGACACGTACAGCGGGACCGAGACGGAAACGTAGGACTGGACTAAATTCAGGGCCTGCATTAATTGGGAATGGTCCTTTCTTTACCGTACTTTGGTTTAACTTAGTACGAACCCTGGGTTTAGGGCCAAAAAAAGTAAACTCGTCTAAGGTAAACACATATACAAGCCAGTGTAATATATTTTTACCACCGACAGCAATAGACCCCTTTCGAATGTATGCCCTTTGTTTGAAGCTGTGAGATCCGTGCATAATGGCGGACACAAAAGACACTGCCAATATTGAAACCCTAAAAACTCTACCAATGCCACTTCATTGTTTGCTTACGTACTTTGTGAATCTGACGTTCTGTGGTGTCGCTTGTTCCGCCTAGAGCCACTAAATAAGCTGCGCTTATAGAGTATATCGGCAATTTGTTCCCCGACATTGTTAAGGGCGCCGTCATTTTTGGCGCTTGTGCAGAGCAGACACAACTGCCGATCGTCATGATTGAAAAGTGCGACTTCCTCAGCATTACTTGCAGTGTTAGGAAGCTGATGTAATATTGCTTTGCTTTGTCGCCAACTGTTTAAACATTTGTGGAGGACGGAAGAACGTTTCCTTTGATTTCAGATAAAGCTTCAGATAACTAGCAACCATGATTTTAAGCCACAATATGGCCAAGTGTCGTTACTCTGAAGCGTAGCTTATTTAGTGGCACTAGTTCCGCCATTGTGCAGTGGTTCAGACCTTTTAACAACGGGCCCGTGACTTTGAAAAGGGGTCTAATATTTCAACTTCTTCCTCCTTAGCATTAATCGTCAAATCAAAAAAGAAAGGAAAAATCACGTGGTCGTGAGGTGCTTGGGCACCGGATTTGATGACCCCGGGCTTCCGCCGTACTTTTTAAACATACCATGAAACTTGAGATTCGCGAGTGAAAATAAGTGCCGTCACGGCACTAGTTGGCCACGGACGCGAATTCAAACATTCGTCGACGGATTGATTGTTGACGAGCGCATTCGTCTGAGTGACGCAGTGCTCGTGTCCAATATGCGAAAGCTGAAGTCGGTTAACGTTCTTGGGCACCGCGGATGCATCGCAGTGAGAAGGCCGAGAGCTTTCGATAGAAAAGGAGCTAAAAAATAGTCCACTACGTTTTTCAGATTTTCGTATACCGAAAAGCTAGGTCTTTGGCTTTCTCCCCTTGTGTACTAGTTTTCTTTTGACGCGCTAAACGATATGCGATAAGTAAAATCCCAACTTATCCCAGCCCAAACTTAATTTCATGGTCCCTTTAATGAAGCAGGGCGGGGGGGGGCTCATTATGTTTACACTTCTTGTTTCTCGGTGCGTTCTTCGCCGTTCTTATTGGCTATACGGAGCGCAAGCCCGTCTGCTTCTTTTGCAGGGGTTGTGGTGACATCACAACGATGCAGAGCTCTAATTGGTTCTTATCGAGGGATAGTGGGTAGACCTCAAAGCAAGCTGCCTTGAGGTCTACCCACTATCCTTCCAATCGGAGCCAATCAGAGCTCTGCATCGTTGTGACGTCACCACAACCCCTGCAAAAGAAGCAGACGAACTTGTCTCCGCATTGCAGGAATCTCGCTGACGGCAGAGCGATTTTGAGATAATCGAGACTTGCAACGCCCTGCGTTTCATAAGCAGCAAGCGGCTAGAGTGACTGGATTTGACTAGCCCCGAAAAGAATATACTACTTTGCATCGCACGTACCTGCCCGTCATGGTTGATGGCACCGCCACAGTCGGAGACCAGCTCGGAGAGCGTGTAGTAGGCCGTCAAGTTCCACAGGCAGGATTCGAGGTCGAGGCTCTTGTAAAACCTGAAATACAACGAGACATCGGCGTACCGTCAAACAATGGCGTTTAAAACCATAAATAAATTATTAATAATTGTAGAATGTCCAGCCTAGTCGCGATGAAATTGCAGCTGCTTTCCCAACGTTTTACTGCTCACGAATATGCGTAAATGCCAGCCGCTTTAGTATGAACCACAGAAATTTCGCACGGTTGCGTTGTACTTATAAATGCGACATTGAAAAAAAAAGTCAGGTTACAATAACTTATTTTTTTTTTTATAAAGTAAAAACACCTGGGAATGAAACGTTTCGGGTTACTTAGAGGGAGATCACTTCACTTGTGGTTTTCCTCTCTTTCATACTATTTTGTTTTTTGTGTACTTTGGGCTTTTTGTATTTTTTATGTAGAATGCGATTTTAACTTTAATTACCGTAGGATACCGTGCACCCGCCCATGCCACATTAAGCGCCCATACCCAAATTTGTAAGATCTGAGAAAATATGCACAGTACATTGATATGTAGAATTGATGACCGGACAAGCGCCCATCTCTCATCTCCCATTTTTTCATGATTATCTCAAAAGTTTGAGTGGGCGCTTGCCCGGTATTTTACGGAGGTTTCACAAAGGGAATAAAACATCACGGTAAATTTAAATCACCTTGAAAAACTAGAAAGTGAAGGTTTTATCTGACCCTGTAGTTTAGCAATTTAGGACAGTACGAATTCACACTAGCAGTACTGTATACGAGCTAGCAAGAAAGGTTTCTTTGTAAGTCATATAGAAATAACGATCCGTACTCAAGAATTGAGAATTTCTCTTGATGGATTATTTTAATTTTCTCTATAAGTTCGTTATAAGGAAGTATATGTTATGTTGGCATTCGTTGTAACTGGGCTATGTTTAAGAGGAATTCTACTGCCACACATGCATTAAGCCACACATTGAACACGTACTGTGTAGTTAAAAAAAGCTTCAGAAAGTACGGCTTTTGTTTCCACTGCGTCATTGAACGTTTCATCATCATCATCAGTGTGCACAACACCTTAGGGTCTTGAGACTCCGCATCTCCTTGCTGTACTGGTAGGGTTCAGCATCGCCGGCGAACAGGTGGGAGCTCTTGATGGATTCCGTGATAAAGCCGTCCGGCGTGAACGATTCGTCCGCGTCCACCAGGTTGGAGCACTTGTGCAGACCGACCCTGAGGCTGCTGGGGCTGAGTGCGAACTCAAAGTTGGAAAGCGGCCTCGTGGACACGGCCGGCAGCAGCCCGTCCCGGTGGGGAATGAGAACCGTGATCTGAATTTTGTTCGGCGCCTTAGGGTCGTTAGTGCCTGTAAGGAAATAGTCGATACTTTTAGTTTTCGATGCCGGGTCGTTTTTTGGCGAGGATAGCTTTGCGAAAACTGAACGGAGAGGCTCGAAAGCGTTACGACCGAACATACGATACGCAAAGTGTTGTGTTAAGTGGGTACTGAAGATTTTTTTTTTTTTTTTAAAGGAAGAGCCTATTCATCTCACGTGAAGATGGAGGACCAGCGAAGCTGCTATATTTGCGACAACTTTACGACAACTGTACGACATATATACGATTTACATATGATTTCAATGGAGGTACGTACAGGACTTCGTTGCTTAATTGTCTTTATTTAATTCTTAGGGACTGAAGTGATCGTTGCCGTATGGTCACTTATGGGCAAGTTCTAAACGCAATTTTTCGAGGCACACCTCGAGGACGGTTTATTTCCGATTGAACCCAATTCTCTTTATCAGCATCGCGGAAGCGAAAGAAAAGAAGGTTAGATCGGCGCGTTCTGCACTCAGCCTCGTCACAGCGCACTCTTAGTTGAAATAAGTCGCTGACCGTAGATGATAACAAGTGATCAGGACATCCCTATCTAATAATGCCACGGAAGGCTGACTCACGCGGGTTGCCCCCTCTTTTTATTTAGACTTGTCATGACCAATCGGCACCAAAAAGCGCCGTTTAAAAGGGAAATATTTGTTAGCATCCATGGACACCTTTTTTTTCCAGATCCTAGCACATAACAGCTTCGCTGTAAAAAAAGAGCTTGCTTTCGAGTTATTTTAGCTTTGAGGCCACGTTTGTGACCATGGCGGCCAATAGGAGAGAGCCGAAATGAGTCAATTAGTTAACTAAGTAAAACTCCTAACTAACTTTAAGATGTTCGTTTTCTGATGGCATAATGTATTTGGAAAAGTATAGCCTAACCGTGGTCACGAAAGGTTAATGAAAATAATATGTTGTGGCCGCTAGGGGGCGAACAATGTCACTCTTGCACACGGCTTCAAAACCGAAACTGAGCGGGCAATGGTATACAGGTGATGTCGATCCCTCCGTGCTATCGCAGCCTGCTTCGCTTGCGGAGTCGGCGGCCAGAGCGATCGACGTCACTGCTACTCTTTGCCCGATTCGTTTCGGTTTCAAACCGAGTACAAGGGTGATACTCCTCACCCTTGTGTGCGTCTACTACGCGGCCGCCGCAGCAGGGCGTCCCTTACTGGCAGCGCCTCACTCCCATTGGCTGACGGAAGCGGTCACGTGACCGTTGCTATAACCATTAGCATTCCCTCGGTAACTACACGATTTCATCTCGATTTGCTGACCAAAATAAGTATTTTACACAGGACGATATTTGTGAAGTATGACCAGAGTATACTGCCGCAAATTTTAGTAATGACAGTATGATGCAATATGTACGTTGCTGAGAAAGTTACCAATAGTGAGTGTGGAAATTAATATGATTAACTATACTGCGCACTTGGCCGAATTCGAGCAGTGAAGTTTTAAGTGCGAGGTTGTTTTTTCACTGTAGAAATAAAAGAAATAAATAGTTATCTGAATAGAGAGCTTTATTCCAAAACCTCAAACGTACCCCGTCAACCACGGTTCACGCAGTAAAAATTACACTGCGGAAAAAATTAAAAAGCAAAAACAAGGTCGCGCCTCCCAAGTCTTGCACGCTGCTATGCGGAGGGCAAGTCGTCTGCTTTGTGCGCAGGAGCAGCGGTGACGTCAGAACGACACCGAGCTCTGATTGGCTCTGATTGGAAGGACAGTAAGTAGACCTCAATGCTAAATGCCTTGAGGTCTAGCCACTATTTCGTTTTTCAATCATCCAATAAGAACTCGGTGCTCTGACATCATCGCAACCACTGTGCAAGAAAGAAGCAGACGAACTTACGCTCCGTATACGTTCCCGGCTTAGCGAGCTTCTCTTTACGGTGTATATAAATCCGATGCAAAATGCGGCAAGCCTATTGCGTCCACTAACATTCCTTTATTTCTACACAGTGTCAGTCTCTGAGTTGATGTATCGAGTTCGTTGGTCATACGTTTTGGGTCGAACCTATATCTTATAAGAATTTAAGAATCGCCATAATCATCGACAGCTCGAGAAACGCAGGGGCGTGGTCTATTATGATAACGTTTCGTGATTGATTCTTAGGTGTTCTTATCAACTAATGCCGCAATATGATTGGCTCCGGAGCAATAATGAGATGCTCGCCACGCCCTGCTTTTCTTAGGCTAGCAGCGACTATGCGGCGTGCAACTTCGTCTGCTTTTTGCACCGGGGTTGTGGTGACGTCAGAAAGACGCCGAACTTCGATTGGCTCCGATTGGAAGGACAGCGGGTGGACCTCAAGGCAGCTAGCATTGACGTCTACCCACTATCCTTTCAATGGGAGCCAATCAAAGCTCGGCGTTTCGACGTCACTCCTGTCCCTGAGCAAGAAGCAGACGAAGTTGCACGTTGTATAATGCCATTTATCAAAGCCCCCGTGGGGTGGCGGTGGTCGCGTCACAGCTTCACCTGTGTATCGAAGCCTAGCCGTGAAAGGCTCCGCGCCGACGTAGTCATCTGCGGATGGACGGCAGAGTCCCTCCTCCATCGATATCGTCACGGGAACGCTCTGCACCTCGAGTCCGACGTCTCCATCGGTGTTGACAGCACGTGCGGCACACTGGACTCTGCTGCCTGGGCACAATGGCGTGAAGCTCTCACTTCGAAATGTCAACCGTTTTTTTTTTTTTTTTTACATCTTGAGAACAATTATTTTGATGTATACAGGGTATAGGAGTATTGCTCAAACCGATACCATGCATTCTATTTTTGTCATGAACCATATAGGCATCTCTCTTCCCTTATGTTCAGATAGCTATAAAGATTGTCGGCTGACAAAAACAATGTATAAAGAAAGCTGAAAAAAAGTTGCTGAAGAAAGACTTTATCTGGGTTTGAGATAAACGGTTTTCTGATAAAGTTCCACTAGCTTGAGAACCTGATATTACCTGAATTAAAAGTAGAATCAAGTTTGAAATATTTTTCAGGCATAACATAACATAAGCGTACACTTCTGGTAACCGGAATTATTTATCTCCTCGTATTTGCGGGCTTTGCTATGAAGGGAACTGGGGGCCGGAGGCCCAGCGTGTTTATGCACCTCAACTCGAAGCATGTGAAGCGAAGGCTTGTTCGCTGCCAGGGATTCTGGGCTCAATCCTCAACCCTGCCCGTTTCGATCTGATCAGCACCATACAAAGGTGTGTTCGTGAAATGATTGTCGCGTGATGGACGCACGTTAAGGATTCCAGACGTGAAGCGGTATACTGCACCGGCTCAATTTTTTATTTATAGCGGAGACACCAGACTCAAGGCTAACTAACTTCCCGTTGTCTAAACATACACAAAGCACATTTATTTACTTTGGGCTTCATTATGCCCCGTTTTCCCCAGTAAGTTTTGAGTCGAATCATTCTTTCAGTAAGGTCAAAGACGTGCAGTAGACATCTTCAAGCAGGCAAAATCGTAGCAAGTTCACGCCCAACGGCATAGCGTCCATTCGGGTCTGTGTGCAGGTGTATCTCTCACCTGCTGAAAAGTAGACACTGTCCAGGGTTATGGCCCTGACCGGAGCAAAGAATGCCTTGGACTGAATGTCCTTCAGGTCGAAGGAGTCGTCGGGAGACGCCACCAACCAGCGAAACTCCGTCAGCGAATCGTTGATGCCTTCCTTGGAGCAGATTGGGCCGGTTCTTAGGTAGTCGGGATGCTTGGCATTGCAAGACTGGAAATCGGAAAAGATGAACGTTAGCCTTCCGCCTCCTTCCGTCTCTCGGTTAAATATGTATAAATGTAACCAAATCGGCCAGTTAGATTTTTTTTTTTATTCTCTCCTCAACCATCATTTACAAACTAAAGTCATCTCGCTAACTAGACGTAAAAATCCCTTACATTTTAAGTACACGTTGGGAAACTGTATTATTACTCGAACTGATATGATCAGGGACCTCGGGGTGTTAGTCGATTGCAAACTGACGTTCAGTTCTCATGTAACTACTATTTGTGGTACCGGGTTCAAAATGCTTGGTATGATCTCCCGTTTGACTCGGCACTTCCAAGCACCTGAGGCCATATTACGTGTATTTTGTGCTCTGGTCAGGCCCAGGCTCGAATTCGCTTCTGTCGTGTGGAACCATTTAACGGAGACTGAATGTAGACGTATTGAAGCGGTGCAAAGGCGTTTGGTTCGCATAGTCTATGATCGATACTTCCACAGGAGACTTTACTTCGACCACCATTCTCTGCTTAAGATTTTGAATCTCAGCACTTTGGATGACCGAAGGCATTGCCGAGATGCGGCTTTTCTACAAAAGCTTATCCAGGGTGTAATTGACGTACCCGACCTTTTGGGCAGCATAAAGTTACGTGTGCCAACGAAATTCACGCGACAGTGCGACATGTTATACCCCGACATGCGATTAAAGGAGTCACCAATCTATCGTATTCAGACATCATGCAACCTCCTTGTCCAGCACGATTTTTTTTTTCATGCCTTATTTTACCTTTAACACCTGATGTGTATTTTATGTACTTTGTTACGACTGTTTTACTATGCTGACTGTTCTAATATGACTATTGTGGTTTCCATATGTTTGCATGTTTCATAGGAATCTGACTTCTGTGCACCAATGTCAAAACCATTATGGTGTTTTTGGGCACGCAATAAATAAATATCAATCAATCAAAAAATCATATTTCCCGGAATATAGTCGTCACACGGTTTTAAATTTCCTAATGAAGCAACAAAAATCCTTACGTTGCCTGCACCCGAAGTTGGCAGTTCGCACTTAAAGTACTCATAAATAGCACACCTTTAAAATAAAAAGCCTGTTTTATTAGCACAATACAAAAAAAAAAAACCTCTCATCCTACAAAAATTGTCACAAAACTAACAAAATCTGTCGCGGCTCGTCATAGTAAACAACACTGAAAAACCTATCCCTGTATATTCCGCACTGGTGAACGTGCAGAGTGCACGGCCTATTGTACGGCAAATAACGGTAGATAAACTTTTCCAGCGCATATGAACCAGGCAAAAACTGCCGACTCACTGAGCTGTACACGCATGTGCTGCGTCTGATATGGAGCAGAAGAGAGATAGCGCGCATGCTCACTACGTGTATCCCAGACCAGTATACACGTATAGACCGACACGCGGTTTCGAAACAAGCCCGCGTTTGCCCACACCAGGTGTGGGCACTGCGCATGCACAGAAACCGAATTCGAGTGAAGGGAAGCGTCTGCGCATGCGCAGTGCCGTCGACAGCGCCACCGCAGCTGCGTGACGTCAGGGCCGCGTGCTGGTCTATAAAGATGGCAGCGGACAGAAGGCGACCACGAAGATCGTCTATAATTTTTTTTTGTTTTTGTTTTTTTAGTGAAGAGAAATACGCACGTCGGAACCCTGCCCTAGAGGGATTTTATCTGTCTTTGTGGTTATCGTATATAGCAACTGTGCGACACCTTTGTTACTCCAAAACAGGAACGAAATTTGCTCTTTCCTTGTTCCGTCGCAATCTCGGGGCGGGCTCCCGGTTACAAGTTACAGTTGGCTCCAAAGGAACGCGCTCCCGTTACGTTTCTAAGGTTCTTGAAGTAACATCGCGTTTGCGTATTTGAATTAAATATTCTGCCGGATAATACGTAATTAAAATAAAAGAAAAAAGCGAAAAATATTCACACTGAACTACCTCTGGTGTGGCCACGATCACGTTTGTTCCAGTTCCTTGTTTTCGACTGTATCTTGGATACTTCCTGTATTCCCTGAAGCCGCGGGTTGAAATAGTCCATAATAATAATAAAGAAAACTATATGCTTATTAAATTCGGGTATAAAGAACCCCGTTCCTCGTTCTGCCGTTTCTTCGAAAACGTAACAAGTTCCTGTTCCAGTTCCACCGATGCAAGATGGAACGACGCCGGTTCTCCGTTCCTTGAAACGCCGTTTAATACAAAACTGCACTGTAGCAACCAGTCCGTGTTATCTCTCAGAACGGCGCCGAAGTCCGGTTTCTAAAATAATGATCAAGGTAGCGTTACATACTGTTTAATGATGTAGGGTACTTTTGAATATGGTTTTGATGATTCACGCTGATAGGTCCGATGGTGGAGAATCTAGACTCCTAGAGCATCGAAGCCAAGGTAACCCTATGCGATCATATGAACCGGGAGCTTGCCGCCCTGAAAGGTACTCGCTGAATACTTATTTTTATTACTGCGTGAAAAAAATTTGTAAACGTACCGAAATGCAGCAGAGAGGATAGCCGTGAATGGGACGTCCTGAAACCCGGTCAGCGTCGTCGTAATCGCGAAGAGAGACGACCACCGGCTCCGACGGAAAAGTGACAGCCGGCAGAAACTTGACGTCTTCGATGTACACGATTGCTTTGGAGTCCTGCAAAAAAAGAAAGTTGATTGTCTCAAATGAACTTTTTATCGTACGACTATCCATATATGTGTAATATATTATATTTACACGTGCGGCGCCACTGGTTCTCGACTGAGTACACCGATCTCGAGTTTAAAAACAAACAAACTGAACAATGAATTGGATAAATAAAAAAATGTTAGAAAAAAAGTTTTGAAAATTTTAATAAATGATTTAGAACCCCCTCCCTGCAAAAAAAGAAAAAAGAAGACAACAAGGAAATGTTATTTTTAATCATAAAAAGGGCAAAGGAACCGCGTCATGTGTTGTGGAGTTGCGCGCCTCCAAACTTTTCCACTCAGAACGCGTTGAGTGCAGGCAGCTGCACTCAACGCATTCTTTTCTGCAACGCACTTTTTTCTTTCCACTTTTGCTCGTTTGCTTCTGTCTCAAACGGCACTCAGGCTGCGGGCATACTTATGAGAAGCGAAAATTAAGCATAGATGTAAAGGGAGACTAAAAAAGGCAAGTATTTCGAATCTAACGCAAAAGCATGTACGAGCACATAGAAACAAACGGTCAAGAGTATGCTCAGCACTTCTTCCATTTATATAATTGTGACTCTGATTGTACGCCACGTGAAACCGTTCTATTCCGAAACACTTCGCCATTAAGGACAGTACTTACTCTCACTTCGGCGATGCGGTTCATGTCTTCTTTCATGTGAAGTGTAAAGGCCTCCTTGTGCTCCTTGATGTCGTCGTAAAGAATCTGCACGGTGACTAGGGTTTCGTTCACGTGTGGGTGTAAAACAACGTCTGCAAACCCAAAGAAAGACCGCCCAAAATTAGCATAGGGCAAAGTAAAGACTAGACTCAAAGCAGGACTGAAAAAAAGAAATTAAGTAAGTCTGTACTTTAGATTTGAGGAACTGTCCACGAAGTGAAAGAAAAATTGACGTGGGCAAGCATAAAAAAAGCTTAAATGTTGATCTAAAAAAAAAAAAACTTGCGTGAAAGTTTAGGAAATTGTTTATATTAATAAACAGTATCATAGCGTATTATCGCATACGCTGTTATTTCCCCAACACAGAGACTTCCTAAAACTTAAACACATAGAAGAAAGGCCTTGTCGATATGCCACAGCAAGACTGTAAAAATTGAAACAAAAAGTATCTAGTTTGAGTTGGACTACGAACTATAAGATACCAGCCCTGAAAAAAAGGATAGCTTTACGTAGTTTACATATTGGAAACCGTTAAAGCGCCTCATGCTTTAGGAACTTCATACGTACACTGGCCAAAACCAGTACCACCTTAAAAAAATACAATACAAAAAAAAAAGTGGCAGTTTAAGTTTAACTTGCCAGCGGGGCATGATTCGTCTCATTCACAACCTACTCCATTTGTCAGCGTAAAACTCAGTTCCCGTCTTAGTGAGAATATAGCGACCCACCGTCGGACTCTTCGGCTTCGCGGCTTAACAGCGGACAGAACATAGCAGCTGAGAGGCGTCTAAAAGTGGACCCAAATCGACACAAAACGTCGCCAAACGCATCTATCTTCAGGTTTTACTGAGTGAGGATTCCAGAAAACTCTTCCGAAGAATGAAGAGGGTCTATCAACAGTACGAAGATGGTCCTCAACCAAAGACGGATCATCGGCATTGTTGACAGGATTAACCTGTGGCCAATCCATCACAATCCGCGATGAAGTCACAGAAGGACGAATTGAAGATGTTCTTTCAACGGCCGCGTCTTCCGACGCCGCACAAAAAAGATACAAAAGCGTCACCTGTTTCCATTTGACAAAGTAGTCTGGTTCAACCCCCCCCCCCCCCCCTTTTTTTACGTTACTGGACTGCTTCAAACAGCCACGTTGTCTTAAGTTACGAAGGCTTAAGTCGGCTTACACCACAAGTCACTGGGACATGTGTGCTTCATATGAAGCGTGACTATCAGTTCACGGAGATAGCTCAGCACCTGACATTCGAGACACAAATGTTTCCGTGACTTATACGTAACGTGAGAAAACTAAGAAAACGGTGCATGTTGTGTGAACCAACCTTATACCTACATCGTTGCTTAAGCAGCAGCGCTTGGTAGTGGTCAAGGAGATGCAGTATGTTCACAGCCGACGTTACAGCCGAGTCAAAAGATTCATCGAGTCAACAGACCCAATATTGGTCAAGAGATCCGAGTCAAGAGATCCAACGCGTCAAGACTCAAGAAAATCCAACATGGCCCCAGAGATCCACCGTGTCAAGAGGTCCAACGGGTCAAGAGGTCTAACGAGTCAAAAGATTTAATGTCGAACCTCTTGACTCGTTGAATCCCTTGGCTTTTTAGACCTCTTCACTCGCCGTGAATTTTTTACTTGTTGGACTTCAGGACCACGTGTTCAGCCCCTCCATAGCAGGAGAAAACAGCGCAAAAACGACACAAGGACTTTCGTCTACTTGTCCTTGTGTATTTCTTGCGCTGTTATCTCCTGTTACCAATATGCACCGACTACAGTCTATTTTACCACATGATGTACCGAAGGAAAGGCTACAGCCGCGAGCTTCTTCTTCTAGGGCACATATCGGCGGCACAAGCTCTCGCGCATTAAGGGCAGCTGCCAATGTCATGAGCTCACGCTCCTAGCCTTCGCTGCGGTACAACATAAGGTGAAACGGAGTATAGCCCAACTTCAAACTCTATTACCCTCCATAGCCATAGTATACGTGGCTTGCACTGACGTCCCACCAGCGGACATTGTGGTGACTGTACTGCTGAAAGCTTACCTTCTGCAGCATACATTCCACACCATCAGATTTGTTTCACTCGACAAAGAATAAGTAAGGATCACCACTTGCATGATTCAGTGGCGTCATATGCAAGCCATTGTATGGCTACAGTCAACAGCTGCGCCCATTAATTAAGGAACGAGCAGGCATTGTCTCTACCAGGGTGTTAAGAGTGGGCGGCGCCAAGCATGATGGCACGCCGGAAGGCAATCTGTTCGCGCGTCTATCCATCACGAGAGGCTCTTCCGCCTTTAGCGCTTTGTTGACTCGTCTTCAAGCGTGAGCTCGGCAATGGCATCCTGATTTGAGAGCGTGCGCGGCAGCAGGCGCCGAAAGACGAATGGCTGCACCCTTCCTGTTGGGGGGGCCCCCGGCCACCACAAAAACAACTCTGCCCTCTCCTGGAAGCAAGTCTAGCGGCGTGCGTTTAGGGCTCGAATTTTCTGCCATATATGGCTTTCACGAACGGCACATTAGCTGCTATTGTGGTAGCCTTGCTGCTGAGCGCGCACCATTTGCAGTATGCATTTCGCACCTCCAGATTTGTTTTTCTGGGCAGAAACAAGTAGGAATGAGCGCCAGTATGGTGCGGGGACCCCATGTGTAAGCCAAGTACTATTAAAACTATCATCACTGACAGGATTAGATCGGCAGAGAGGCCTTTATATGATCGCGCCTCCAGTACGAGCTTACTAGCTTCGATTGAAGTCTCTGGATCCAGGGAAAGTAGCGCCACTGCTTTCCCTTCCTGCTAGCCGGACATAAAGAGATACTAACATACAGACGACGACACCTCACAAGGTGATTGGCTGATCGGTCTCAGTTTTTATGGAAATCGCCATTTATGGTCCATTCAATTCTTTGAAGCTTCCAAATCGCCGTTCTGGACAAGTCGCCCCAACATCGCTACGGAGCATCATTGTACTGAAAGCGATCCTCGCATATATAGGCGTCTTTGGCACTATGCACGCAATCAACTTATCAAATATGCTTATCTCAACAAATCTGTTGCAATGAAATTATTGTTCTTCTTGGGTATTTCAAGAGAGTGAAATTGTTTTTCAATGTCCCCAAGCACCGACACCGCACGGGGGGTCGGTGCGACGATATGGGCTTGTTTCGACGGTGTGTGGGTAACAAGATCTCGGTTTACAACGATTCTCTCGATAGTGAAACATGTCACCGGAAATTGGAATCGGCTTACCAAGAATGAAGTGGTCAAGAAAAAACTACCCAATCCATGAAAGCTCCTGAGCAAGCGTAGAGCCTACAAGTCCTCTGCGAAAGTGCAGTTGCTTAGTGACAAAGGGATAGTACATATAGAACAATATATGACAAAAAAAAAAAAAAAACGTGTTGAAAACTTTGATTTTGTTAAGCCCTGAAAACGGGTTAGAGGGAGAAAAACTGATGTGCTCATTCTATGGAGTTTGCTTAAATGACATACGGTCACTTTATTTTTTTATATATATATTTATTTGACAAAACGCATTATAGCGATCACTAAGAAATATAATAGAAGGTTCAGCTGTCTCATTGAAAGTTATTTTGTCACCATATTTTTGGGCATATGGCCGTTTCGAGAGGTACTCGGGGAATTCCATGCAAATGGACGCAACATACTTATGGCCTATTCGACTGGGGCACACCGCACTCGTCCAGTGCAGTGAACTCTTTCCACTTTAGTACACGAAAGAGTGGCGGGGAGAGAAGGAAGCTCCCCTCTCCCCTCTAGCCTTCCGTGTACTACGAAACGCACTGCACCGGTGCAATGGAGACCCACACGAATTGGCCATTAGTATGAGCATGAAAGACGGATACAGGATTTTCTAGTTCAGTTACACGCGGTTACGTGCGGTATAAACTCAACTGGTTCAATCTTTGATAACTAAAACTTTACTTTTTTTCCCCCACTCGATCAAACATGACAATGTACAATTTAGCTTAACATCGCCGCAGGCAAGCTTCGCCGAGCTTTGCTAATGCTAAAACTATCGCATTTTCCTTTTGCATAATACGCTGCCACCAGAATATCCGATCGATACATTCACCCCATAAACTGCGAAAACTCAACTGATACCGTTAAGAAAAAAAACATCGTTTTGATCTTATCTTCTGGTCACTCGATTTTTGGCGTATTTATGACCGCTTTCTTTTTTAATTACTGAGGTGATTATATCACGGTACGCATTGCTCTTGTTAAGCAACGATTTTCATTTCTCGAGGTAAAAAAAGAAGCTTCCCAAAAGGAATAAGACAGGGGTATAACCTTGAGACAGGGGTACGTAGTCTTCTCCAGCGACGGCGGTGCCGTCTCTTGTGTAGACCTTCACGACCGATTTTCCCGTTGTGTCCCCAAAGCGGACGACGGGAATCACCAGATTGATGACGTCATCGGGGTTTCGAGGCTCTTTCACCATCAACCTGGTTTGTTGGAACTTGATCATTGGCTCTGCAACAGTCACCAAACGTTGCTTCAAAGTGTCAAACTGAGCATTCTAAACACAGTGCTGAGAAAAAAAATTTTAATGCTTATTGAGTTTGGTTGGAAAACGTGGTACAAAAACTCACGGTCAGCGTCGTCCTGGATTCGAACGCTTATGACGTTGGGTTCGCCCAGCAGGGCTGCGCCGGCGCTCGTACTTCGGGGTGTTCCAAGCAACACTCTCAACTCTTCGGTTCCTTCTCTAATGTTGTCGTTTTTGATGACGAGCTGACACTGCTTCTCACGGTCGCCTAACCAAAAAGCAAAAAAGAGGATACACGATGAACAAACCATATTATTCGACAATAAAATCCGCGTTTAGGGGAAAGAAACACCCCAATGACTATTCGCTCAACGAAATCCTCGAAAAACGAATTCGTACGCACCGCGAACCGAATTAACATCCAGAAGTGCCTTCACGCAAGTAGCGGTTGTAATCGTTGATCTTCGGCACACCTGCTTTCCGTATATACGGCACTTCAATGATTACGCAGTCCCACTGGCACAAATATTTTTACCCCGTCTGCCTCTGACACGGGTTGAACATTATGATATTGATCAAAATCATTAGGACGATAATACTTCGAATAACCTCTTGTGAATGTATCTTTTGGTAGCCACTGAACGGCGGTGTACTCTAGCGGGCGTTTTAGAGGGCGGGGTTGGTGGCAAGCAAACTAAAGGCCGAGAGTACATTACGCAGCAAAAGTTTGTTTTACCATTAAGACTCGACGATTCCAGTGTTCCCGTTGTGATCGAGTAATTTGTCCAGTAGAAATAATGATAATAAGCCTCGATTACACGTCAGCACGCCATTCATAATTGAAGCGAACGAAAACAGGAACCTAAATAACATCGAGTTCTGCAGCGCGGGCTTTCGCTCTACGCGAAGGATTACTTGCTGACAACGAAAGCTACCTGGTTGGAAAATGATCAGTGACTCGTCGGCGTTGGGCCTCTCTTCGAAGTCGAGGTCCACCCTGGCCGTGCCCTGCCTCGTGTAACAGCGTACCGAAGACACGTGCTTCAGGTCTCCGGTGCGGAGGACAGAGATGGGCAGCGTACCCACTTCCTCGTTCACGACGTACGCCTCCTCTTGGAAGAACATCTTGGGCACTGCGTAGAAAACAAGCGAACAGGCAAACAGTCTATCGGGTCCGAGTACTAAAAGGTGGCGCCAAGAACGCAGTGTCCGGTCACAATCGTTGTTGAAATGGCGTAGTTGCACTGCTCGTACATCATACAAGAGACGCGGAGTTTCGCCGCGGACATGACGATAAAATTATCAGGCGACACGACTTAAGCATATGTTCGAATTAAGCGGGTTTGCTTCGTACCGTAAACACCGGTTATAACGAAGTCGACGGGAATCGGAAATCACTTCGCTATATCCGCTATATCGTTATAACCGACTTCGGTTTGTGAAGTGCGAAAGGGAATAGAATATCGTTATCGCTTCGCTGTAGCCGCTATTTCGTTATAACCGACTTCGTTATAACCGGTCTCGACAGATATATATATGTATGCCTCAAACATTTCTGCAGACAGCATTCGTATGACCAGTGTGACGGGACAGTCATTCAAGGGATAAACATGCTTCAGACAGCGTCTGCCGACTCTGTTTTGTATAATGTCTTAGCAGCGTGGCCGAGCGGCTTCCATGTAAACATGAAGTGCGTGGACAGACACGGAGGAAAGAATGGCGGCTGCTTCTCGTACGATCCGAGAGGCTGTCGTTGATGGTGACGACGGCGGACCGCGGCTTGCCGAGCGTTCCGTTCACGGGCGCTCTGAGGACCAGTTGGAAGGTCTCGGCGAACTCGAGCACCGGGTGGCCGTAGTCGTCCAGGATGATTACTTCGACCGTCTGCGCCGTCGACCCGACTGGGAAATGAAGGAGGTGTCCTACAGCAATGTAGTCGTTGCCGGCTAAAAAGAAAAGGGGACAAAACAAAAAAAATGCCATTGAGAAATAAAAATATCTGGCTTTAATTTTTAAGTAATAAGTATATTAGGAAGTGCCTCCAGGCGGCTTTAGAAATGTCCGCGCACGTAAAACCCCCAAGAGGCGCCAGGAAGACGTGTGGACGCTTTGCAACAGTTGTGTGGGGGCGCCGCCATTATCCACGTCCAGTTTTTGTTTCCTCTTATTCCAATTACTTCGCTTCATCATTAGCATAGAATGACAATATCGCCACTTTAGATTCTATCGTGTTCTTCTCCCCAGCAAGCATTGGCCTTGGTGGGAGCTTGTCAATGCTCGTTTCAGTGTCTCGGTATTTCGGTAGGACAAGGGAAGGTCAGCAATGGCGGCTGTAATCTGGCGGGTGTGTAAAGCGTTTATATCCGTGCTCAGTGAATACTGGGGGCTCTTCAAGCTGCATAAAACGGCTTCTTTCCGGTGGTACCCCCCAATCGCCTATGATGGAAAATAAACAATGTTTCAACACGGTTACCCGGACACTCCGTACCCGAAGCATTTAATTCAAAAATGTTTCATTAAAACAAATGTTTTATTGCAGGCACATTTTATATCATTACACTTCATGCCAGAAGCACTTTTTGAAGTATGTAAAGCCATTTTAAGAGCCGTGAATGCCCCATGACTCGCGCTTTAAGCGTCTACGTTCGTGTTGTATGTGTTCGAGCATTGGACTGCGCTGTGAGTCGTGATGAAACAAACTGTACACTCCGTGGCATTTTACGTCCGGCCGCAGCGGATGCTACGAACCATCGCTGCCTATTCAAGGCCGTGCAAGTTTCCAGTGATCTTCGAGAGGACGTGCCGTGACGCGTGGAAAGTGTGGTCACGTGTTCTGTTAAACAGAGCCGGATTGGCCGAGATGACTTGTAGCGTCTACCGCAGTCGGACGTAAGGTGGAAACGGAGCATAGTTGAAAAATAGTTTCCTAAATGCGCGAGAGAGGCAGCCGACGTGTAAAAAAAAAAATTGCTGTTTGTTCAAGGCCTTGAAGAAGCGGTAGCTTATTGAGAAACGTTGGACGTAACGCAGAAGGTTCATTTTCAATTTTGTTCTTTTTGCCGGATTCTGCTGGCTTTTGCCTTATGCTCCGTTTCATCAACCTTACAATCGCGTCCGTTCACGAAGTGTTTCAGATTTGATGCTAAAAAAGCAATGCTCACAGGAATGACAGATTAACGCAGTATACAAAATGAGTCACCTTGGGCGCTTGGTGGACTCGCTGGTTTTGAGCGCACCATCACGGATGACGTCAGACTCAGGTCGGGTCCTTCCCTGAGAACGGTCACCTCAAAACTTCCCACGCTCTCTTCAACCTGGTAGCTAGACTCCTCGAAGTAGAAGAACGGCGCTGGAAAACAAAACAAAAATCAGAAAAAAAGTGATTAAACAGTGTACGGTCCCAAAAGCCTTAAAGCCAATATGACATTGACGTGACATGATATAGAACATGACACGTCCTGATTTTCGGCATGAAATTACCAGTTTTTCGGTAATGTGTTCACGAAGAGGTCGTGTAGAAATGACGACAAATTTGAAAGATGTGTGAAAGTATATTTCCCATCCCTTCGATCTACGCTGTGATTGTGGCTACCAGATCGCACTCACACCCTATATATGCCTGCACATTTAGCTTCCCGAGGGCACACATGGGCCAATCACCAAGCGAAGCGCAGATCGCGTTTTCGGGTCAAAACTTATTCTACGGCTCGTTATTTATTGCACATGGTTCATGAATTGTTGCTATTGGCACACCCCGAGCCTTACAGAGAAGTAGATACAGACAACATTTTAAACCTATGAACTGCAACCAGCGCTTTGGCGACACATATCACCATTACCAAAACGTAACCCGGCCGCCCCCGACCATCTCGAAGTGACTGAACAGCCAGTGAGCTAGAAGCATCACCCAATAAAAAGACTCAACCTACTATTCCAAGGCAACAAACACTGCTTAAAATAGCCATGTTCTTTCATGCTTAAGCTGTCCATGACCGCAGTCAATATGTCACGAAGACTTCTAGCCCAACTCACCATCCTTGGGATCAGGCAAGATGGTAACCACGGTCGTGTCGTTTCCGGCGATCTTGCCATTCACGGGACCTGTCAGACTGACGGTGAAGTTCTCTTCTCCCTCGTAGAGGGAGTCGTCGATGAGGACGACCCGGCACATTTTCGTGTCTTCCCCTGGTCTAAACCGCACGAGGCTGCCTGGCTCCACAGGCCTCTCGACGTAGTCCGAGTAGGACCGCAGAGGGGACGGCCGCGATCCTTGTGCTGTTCCTGTGGTGTCAGTAGAGATCTTTTTAGTACATTATAGTCCGTGACAAGGTAAGAACGGCATGGAGGAGCTTTAGTTGTCCCGCCTGCAGCGCGAGCTTCCTATTTTCGATAACGCTTCGCCACCTCGCCAGCCTCGAGCATGCGCGCGCTGCCAAAGCATGACAATAGCCTCCTCTATACTCACAAAGCCTGGCAGTTCGACGACGGAGCCATAGAGTGCCCGGTCGCAGATTTGGAGCGCGAGGATCTGGTAGCACAGAGCATCAAAGAGCCATTTCTCGGGGAACCTGGACGTCAGCGCACAGCTTTTGCAGTGGCGAGAACCCGAAACACACTTGTTCGCTCGGGAGATGTGTGTTTCGGCGTCTCGCCGCAGTGGGGCGCCAGTCACGTGGCTCTCCTTTCATCCGCTGTTTGCAGCTCCATCTCTTCCATTTCGGCGGCCGCTTGTTGTGGCGATCTGCCAGGCTTTGTCAGTATATAGGAGACTATGGCACGACAAAAAACAACGAGCACGTTCTGTTGGTCGGGAATCTGAAACAGGCGTATTGCTGTTCTCATTCTGTCAGTGACTTGTCCAATCTCAGCATAGCAATGACCATGGGCTCTTGCTCGCAGCACTTACCGGGTGAGGTCACGCAAAGGACTGCCATGTCCACTGACGAGTCTCCAGTTCGCTTGATGGCGAGAAACAGGTGACCCTGGTCTTCACGTACCGTCTCGTTTTTCCCAAGAAGAGACACGGAAGGTTCTGCGAGCAAAAACATTGAAAACAGCACTTCTAGCATAGTTGTTTTTTTATTTTTAATATGTGTTATGAAACAAGTTATCTCGAACCACTCGGCTAATCTGGGCACAATTCAACATTTGTCGAACTTTATATAAAAAGCAAGCGTACCTGGAAATATTAACTGCCTGCAATTTTTGTGTTTTACTTGGGTTCTCTTTTTTTTTTTTAAATAGTTAACGAATACCCGACAGTTCGTCTGCACTACCAATATTTTAATGGTTACGAATACACACAAAACATTTCAAAGTCACTTACAGCGCCTTTTATGCCATCACGTGCTTATTGAATGGGGCTATTGGTTACCCGTGGTGGCAGCCGTAAAGAAAACAATGCCTACCGATTCCAGGTTTACACAAGGTCTCTTTCCAAGTTCATCCAGCCAGCTTCGACTAGGGGCTACGAAGAAAGACTAGCGACCGGACAAACGGGACGACATGAGTAGCTGGATTGTTCAGTGTTTCCTGTAGTCGACACTACACTTTATTGTAGCGCTGAGTACGTATAAAATCTGTTTGAAATACGATGTTCGTGGCTCTTACCGTCTTCAGGATCATAAATGGTCACGGTGGCCTTCTCCGGAGACTCCGTGGCTGTCATGAAGGCCTGGTCCAGGACAACCACAAACTCCTCCCTCCTCTCGAAGAGCCCGTCGTCCAGGATCCGGAGCTTCCAGACGGCCTCGGCTTGCCCCGGGTTGAACTGAACCTGGCGCGAGTAGTGGCCGCTGAAGTCGGTGCCTTGCCTGGCCGTCAAGTTTCTGGCCGAAATGCCTGTAGTAAGATCACATTACTGTATGAATAGGGTGACCAGACGTTCTGTTTTGGGCCGGGACAGTCCCGTAAGGTTCATTTATACCAGACTTGTGCCTATCTCAAATACTCTACTCAAAATGCTGTATTTAAAATACCTTTTGAAGTATCTTCGTATCTTGCAAATACTTTTGATCGAGAGTATTTAATACTCTAGCTTAATTACATTTCTGAGTATCTTGTACTCATTATCTCAAATATATTTTTGACATTCCGCCATTTTCCGAGTTTTTGGGTATGAAGTGGCGTGGGCGTGGCACGAGAAAACGTGAACATTTTTTCGAGCAACCAAATCCTGTTGCTAGCTCCGATTAGCTAAGGTGACTTCGATTGAGATCGTGAAAACATCGCTTTTTTGCAGATAGTGACTCATATTTGAGCCCAAAGTTCGTACAACCAAGGTTTTCCCCTCGCCTTCGCAACGGCGCATTTTGTTTCCTAGAGTTTCCCCCGGAACATTCTCAAACAAAAGGAGTGGTTTTACGGAAGTAAAGAGAGCCACACTGAGGCGCAACGCAGACCGGGAAACGACCTACGAGAACAATGCAGACTGGAGTGTCAAGAGAGTAACAAATAAAAAGAAATATAAAGTGGACATACACACACACACAAAAAAAAATGTTTTGCTTTTTGTATATTTGATTCTGCTACGGCAAAGCGTCGAGGTTTTCTTTCGTTTATTTCGTTTTGTCGTCAGTCCGTCACTTATTGCTCTCGCGAGCAGTGTCTGTAAGCGAGTATTGATAAGCAGAGAACAGGAGAGGAAACGAACTAGGAGCTGGGTGACCTCTCAAAATGCCAACAAAGCGTCCCCAAACGTTGAGTGCCTTTCTGAACGCAACCTACTTAAGAAGGTGCGACCACTGCCGTGGCTATTATGTGGGTTTTCTTTGTTATCCATTCACTCATATCAGTATCCCAAGTTTGTTTATAGCAGGGTGTCGAACCGAACCCGAACCAAAAACCGGATCAAAACCGTTATTTTTGACCGAACTGGTACAAAACCGAAACCGAAATCGAACGCTTCATATTGAACCCGAACCGGAACGAAACCATAATGTGATGTGGCGGTTACCGGTTCAACGAAAGCGGTTCAGGGCCAATTGTGTCAATATTAAATTGAACTTAATGGGAAATCTGGCGTGCACATTTTTTTCTTAAATTTGCAATCCTACACACTGTCAGATATTTTTGCATTTCGTTTTTATTGCATGCGCAATAAAAAATATATCATCATCATAAGCGCAGACACAAAGAGACTTAGGTATCTGGGCCTCTAAACTCGTCAAACACAAAGTTAGGGCCGAAGTTGACGGAGCGCACCGATTGGTCTATCACGACGATGACTTTGCGCTTTTTTCGCCGACGTCCAATCAGCGCGCTCTGCGAACTTTCGGCTCCAACTTTGTGTTTGACGAGTTTAGGGGCCCTGGAGAGCTTCAAATTTACTTTGTGTCTTGGATTAACCCTGGCGGGCGCGGTAGCGGTGGCGGCGATTTCAAAGCACCGCTTGGTCGCTTGGCTACGAAATGTCCAAGTGTCGCAGCGGATCGCGCCACTCTAAGCACGGAGGCTTATGCGTCTGCGAATGTTTGACCTCAAGATGGACCGCAGTTGCAGCCGATGATCCAATTAGCCAATCGAGCACCGAGAGCTCACCACGTGACCTTCCGCTTGAGTGCAGCGACACTCTGAAGGAAGGTGCGACCGCGCTGCATCGGCAGTATAGTTTGTAGTGTCACCTGCGGTCCATTTCAATGAAAAACAATCTTTTCTTCAACGTGTTCAGAATGCTAGATTACAAAAAAACAAAAAAAAAAAAAACAACAAAAAAAAAAACATGGGTTGGGCCGTCGGAGGCAACGTGACTCGGCGATAATTCGAGGACCGGGGGGGGGGGGGGGGGGGGGGGAAGAAAGTGCTTTTGTTTGTACATTCTTTTTTGTAGGTTTGTCAGAATATACAAGGCCAGCGTGTCGCCTGTTCAACCCTTTCCTCATTTTTGTTTGAAGTCCTCTTTCATCGTCTTCAAGTAAGCATTCGAGAAACGTCGCTCGCTATGGTGGCATTACCGGAAGTTTGTTCGGTGGCTGACAGTTTCAAATGTGAGTACTGTTAAAAGTTATCACGGACTATACGTAAAAAAATCATGCTATGTAACTGGTTCGGAGTCCCTCAGACCGGGATATTTTCACAGGGTGTTGTTAGCGATAAAAAGTCAAAGTGACAAGACAATTAGCATCGCCACAAGATCTTTAGAACAGTGTTTTTCCGCCGGAACCCGAAGTGCTGTCAAGATGTAGTCCAATTTCACTATATGTGCCCGGTCATTGACACATCGGCCAGTCTGGCCGATGTATACACGAGTAACACGAGCGCCAGCTTAACGGAATTCGACAAACTACCCCAACTGCGCACTCGACGTACCTGTTTCCTTGTTTTACGGCACATTTGTTTCCTCGCGTTCCCCTTTCAGCCACTCTCGGGCATAGCTGTGACATCTTGCTGAGCCGAAAACAGGTAGCATGTCCAAAAAACACGTGTTTGCGGAACAAAACAAGCAACAAATATAGAGGGCAAGCAGTCCAGCTACAGACCTTTTTAGTGTTTACAAAATCAGAGCCCAGCGTGCGATCTTCGGAAAGCGAGCAAAGCACATTAAAGATGGCACCGGCCACAAGCTCTTTTTTGGAAAAGTCTATGGACCCATCCATAAATTATGTCC